TGACATAATAACATATTTTGATTTATGTTTCTAATAATCAATTAAGTAGATTTTCTAGTGACAAAACCAAATAAAATTCTAGGTTTTCGTGCCCGAACCATACTACGGCCACTAAGATCCCGAACCGGTCAAATAAATCATGAGTCGAGTATTAAAATCATGAACCAATCTCTTAAAATATCAAAACCAGTTATTTAAACCTAAAGCTATCATTTAATGTATTGAATCGATCATGAACCGGCCATTAGAAGGCTGAACCGACCATGAATCAGTCATTAGAAGGGTGAACTTGCCATGAACCAGACTTTAAATCACTGAACCAATCATAATTCAATTTCTATAACACTGAACCGACCTTGAACCGATCTGAGAACCACTGAACCAACTTAAAAAGGCACTGAACCGGCCCTTTATATGTTGAACCGACCGGTTTGATGACTAATTCTCTATGAACCGGGCTAAAAGCAATGTTATTTTTCCAAAAATAGCCTTAGACTGGTTGGTTTAAATAATGATCTAATTTATTTGTTCCTAAACTGAAAGAGAACCAGTTAAAATCCCCTTGAATCGGTAGTTTCTTTATTTTCCTTCCTATTTACTTTATTATTTTTATTATTTTCTTTCAAATATGGATCTTGGATCTGGCTTCTACCCAAACCCGTCTGTCAACCCACAGCATCCAAGGGTCAGCCCATCAGCCAACCCAATAACCTTAGGCTGAACAAGTATGAACTCGGCCTAAAGGCCTAGCCCAACTCATTTATAAAGGCTAGCCCGGTCCAAGGAATCAGACCTCCCATAGGTTTTTCTCCCATTTGGGTTTTATCCCTGCAACCCGACCATTGAATCGAAAGCTTCATAGATTTCATACCTAGATCGTTGTGTTTTCTTATCCTAGATCGATGCTTCAACCTTGGTCGACTACCGTTGTTTCAAAAGTTTAACAAATCGATCAACGTTGAGAAATTATTTTCTAGAAAACTCGAGCCACAGCCATGGTCCGAAGTTGTTCGATTTTCTGGGAAAAATTTCTGAGATTCCTGCCAATCTCGTAAAATAAATTGAGGGATTTTCCTTCACTATCACACTTGCATCTCTATTAAATAAAGTCTTGAGCAAATCGTAAACGATTTGCTCAAATTTTAGATATCCATCTCCGCGGAAGATCCGTAGGAGTTATCAAAATCTAACATTTCTGATTTTTTTTTTCAATTCAATCATTAGTTTCCTAATTCTACTCAATTTAGTCCATACTATTCTAATTAATTCAATCAGGTCCCTCTAAGATTTAGATTTTAAAAAAAAAATTACCCTAAAAATTTGGGGTTATTACATCTTTATTGTTTGATCATGTATTTTTTTCTTTTTGTTCTATCTTATAATTATATTTCTTTTGATAATAGATTGTTTTTTCTTTCTTCATAATTCATTAATACAATTTAACATCTGTAGTATTGTATAAATATATTTGATATATAATGTATAGTTATTGAGATTATTTGATAGATAATGAAATTGTTAAATTAAATAAGTTGAAAAAATTTCTTGGATATAGGGAAATCTTTATCAAATTTTTTATAAAAATTCCAAAAATTTCAAATCATAAAATATAATTTATTTTGAATTTGTGTATCCAACCAAATTAAACCGAAGCATAAACACTTAAATAGAAAGAGGAAAAACTACTTTTTCTTTTTATTCTCTTTCATATTTATACTTTTTTTCCTGATAGTGGTGTTGGTAGTTGGTAGTTTTATAAGTTATAAGATATTTGAAAGGAGAGAATTTTTAAAAAGAGAGAGTAGCACATAAGAGGACTCTTTATTGATTTTCAACTTTGACTTAATATAAAATGAAAGACTCACCCTATTTATACTAGTGGCACATTCACAATGAATGTTAGAGTTGTGCCAACATATTTATCATCTTATAGCTACAATTTCCTCTATAGAATTCTCCACAAAATATTTTGTCTCCTTTCTAAAACATCTAAACATTTTCTCAAGATTATTCTAAATAAAAAATTTCTAGAATTTGGACACATGGGCTCTAATGTAGTTAATTTATACAAAGCCCAAAAATTAAGCCTAAAATATTATATGGGCCAAATCAAGTTTAATTATCCAACAAGTGGATTGTTTCTCTTTTCTCAAAAGTGATTTCCATTAGTATAATTTAAATGTTATAATACTGTATAAATATATTTGTTATTTAGGAGATCTCTTTTGATTAATTAAATGACAATGGGTGCATTTCATGTGGATGTTTGATAACTATGTGCATGCATTTCATGTGCATATTTGATGATCATGCATATTAAAAATGTATGGGCTATATATCCCTTGCATTTTTCATTTTCATCATTTTCCTTTTTGTGTTTCCAAGTTTATGTTAAGAAAAGTTCAACCAATCTAACCAAATTGTATAAATTAATTGAAAACTATAGTTTGGTTTGATTTGATTAAGTTTACTAAAGATTTTTTTTTATACGATTTGATTTGATATTTTATATCTAAACAATCATATAAACTAAACTAAACGTGTATATATATAAAATTAAAAACTCTATCTTTATATATTTAATTTATCTTAATTGCTTGATCGGATACTTTTTCTTTCCAAGCCCTTTTATATTCATATTTTTTCTAATAATTGATTAGTTTTCCTTCTTCAAAAGTGATTTTTAGTATGATTCAAATTTTGTAATACTGTACAAATATATTTGATATGTAATGTATAGCTATTGGGCTTAATTAATAGATAATAAAATTGTTAAATTAAATGGATTATGAAAAATTTTTTGGATGTAGAGAGATCTTTGTTGATTTTTTACAAAAAACAGTGAATTTAATCTATTGAATTTTTGCAAATCATAAATTACAATTTGAAATTGAATCAAATCATAAATCATGGTTTGATTTGGTTTTCAAAAATTACAAATCATAAATTATAAATTGATTGAATTTATTTATCAAACCAAATCAAACTGAAGCATGAACATTCTAACAGAAAGAAGAAAACTGATTTTTCTTTTTATTCCCTTTTATATTTATTTTTTCTCCGATAGTTGATTATTTTTCTTTTTTAAAGAATAATTTTATTAGCATGATTCAAACATTATAATACTATATAAATATATTTATTATTTAAGAGTTCTCTTTTGTTTAATTCAATGACTATGCGTGCATTTTATGTGCATGTTTAAAATTTATAGTCTATATATCTCTCATATTTTTCATTTTCATCATTTTCATTTTTGTGTTTTTGAGTTTATGCTAAGGATAACAGAAATTAGGAGTTCAATAAACCAAACCGTTTCATATAAACTAATTAAAAACCATAGTTTGATTTAGTTTGTTTTGGTTAGATTGATTGGATTTACAAAAGATTTTTTTATATATATAATTTGATTTGATATTTGATATTTAAACAAATAGTGTAAACTCGATTAAGTATATATATGAAATTAAAAACTCTTTTTTTGTTATTTAGTTTATTTTTATTACTTGGTCGTATACTTTTTCATTATATTCTCTTTTATTTTTATATCTCTATTAATAATTGATTATTTTTCTTTCTTAAAAAATGATTATCATTAATATGATTTGAACTCTAAATACTGTATAAATATATTTGACATATGATGTGTAACTATTAGAGTTATTTATTAGATGATAAATTTGTTAAATTAAATAAGTTGAAAAAATGTTTAGATTAAGATAGGTTTTGTTGAATTTTTTATGAGTAATTTAATCCATTTTATTTTTACAAATTCCAAACTATAATTTAAAATTGAATGAAATCATAAATTATGTTTTGATTTAATGTCTAAAAATTACAAGTCAAAAAATATGATTTTATTTAAATTTAAATATCAAGCTAAAATAAATTGAACCACGTAAACCTCTAATGGATATACTTTTAGTTTTTCCTACTTGTACATCACAGGATTCACATAATATGTAAAAGAGAAAAAAAACTATAAAAAAAATTGCGAAGCTAAACCTACAGTTTTTTACTTAATTTTTGATTATGCATAGGAGCTTCTCTCTGCAGAAGATTGGCCCACTATGAAACCTCCACACCAACGCTTGAAACACTTGACCTTGAAAATTGCCTTGCATCCTGACAAGTACCATGGAATCTCCCACTCCCTCAATAGCTGCCCTTGCCTACAGACCCTCACACTCAACATAGTCCCCTCAATGATATTTCAGGCGAGTCACAACGATTCCAACTCTTATTTTTGCAAAAGCACTTTTTTTAAACCATTTTTTTGACGGATGATTGAACTAGAAATACTCAGATTGGAGTGTACTCAATGCTTCAAACGAACAGATTATAAGAATAAAAAATAAATTTATCCGATGCCCTCACATGTTTTTATTGGGGTACCTTGGTAGGAGCGAGCTACCCATCGTCCACTACAAGAACACGAATTCTTGGGCAATTCCAAGTACGTGCTGGTGCAGAAGTGGATGAAAAGCTTGAAGAAGGTGGAGGTGAAGGGCTTCAAAGGAGGAGTCTTTGAAGTGGCAGTAGTGGGATTTCTGATGGCGTGTGGAAAAGGACTGGAGAGGCTCTCCATTGTGCTGTCCAAGGATAAGGGGGATCCTAGTAGAGAGGACAAGTACAGGATGGATGCCGAGAGGTGGCTGAGATTTCCTTGAGCCTCAGCCTCTCTGCGTACTTCAATCATCTGATAGTGAATTCTTTATCCATTACAAGGAAGACAAACTACAGTATATGATCATTGATTTTTTTTTTTTTCTCTGGAACTAAATTTGCAATCCCTTTTTCTGTTTTCAATCCAGAATAATATGTAAATAACTACAGTTTGATGGGTTTTTTTTTATTACAAATGAGAAATAAACAAGAGACCCAAGAACCATACAAGGTCAAAGTAATCATCCCTAGCGCCCCCCCCCCCCCCCCTCTCCTCTCTATGTGATGACTATGTACAAATTGACAAAGGCTAAAGAAGTGAAATTACTATAGAATTAGAAGTCGATGATTGGCTCTCCAATGGTCAAATTTCTCTCCACCGTCCAAGGCAAGTTGAAGAGCTTGGCCATGATGAACTTGAAGATTTTATTCACATTGATGTTGTGTGTGGCACTTGAGAAGAACAGTGTTGCCTTCATGACCCTTGCATAAGCCCTTGCCTATTACCCCACAAAATGAAAAATAATCAAGTTTATCCACTTATAGACGTGTAAAGCTGCATTATGCCAGAATAAGCTCCTTTTCTAGAGAGAGTTTCGTTTCAAAAAGTTACTTTTGGAGCATATTTCCTACGCGGAGAGAGAGGGAACAACTGGCTTTCCAACATCCACCAAAACATTCCTTTTCATTCACACGCAAGCGTGTTAGGCACTTCCCTGGTGTGAAAGGATAGTGCCCTTTCCAAAAAATTCTTGATCAATCCTCTCCCCGCATCGAGGGAAAAAAAAAATTCCTGTAGGGAAGATTTTGTTACCTGGGTCACAATTGTCCACTGCAAATCCGGCGGAAGTCGGACAAAATCGTCGAATTTGGTGCCGATTAGTATGGGAATCGCCGTCTACGTGCAAATATATTGGCAAAGAAAACATGGGTCATGAAAATTATACACTCATTTAGGACAGACTAACAAACAGGGAGGACCAACCATATATCAGGTACATCATATTGATGATTAAAAAAGTTACAGGGTGGACGAAAAGTCCTTTCTCTGCTTCATAATTGTACTAAGTTCTTTAATGTTCCTAATTTGTGGCACTTTCAGAAGTAGAGACGAGAAGGAGCTTTGATGGTGATGGCTTATTTATTACAGGAACGTGGAAGTTGTCATCTTCTTTCTTCTTTTCTGCTTCTAAACACTAATACTGAACATTCTTTAAATCTTATATAACGAAAAACAGAGCATTTCCACCAGCAGAAATGGAAGTTGCACCTACTGCCGTAATTGCCTTATCTAAGTGCGTAAATGGCCTTCTAGTGAATGATATTGGTAAAAACCGGCAAATGGGCATTCAATTTTACCATCTTAAAAACGCAGAGTTCAACAACCAGGGAACTACTTGTACACATAAAAAAATAAATAAATAAATATTACCAAGAAAACAATTGTACGAAAGTAGAAAGAAAATATTGCAAAGTATAGACTGGGTTTTACCTGATTCCACTTTCTTGCTTGACTATACCATCCAATTACACTGTAGTTACGCCAAGAACACGAAATTTGCGTAGAATTAGTCATCCTTTAAACTTGCAATACATATATTCAATTACATACACAAATATTTTCCGATTAATTATCAACTCATTTACCTGTTTAGAGTACACCGGCTAGTAAGATCAAACATGAACAAAATTGCTTCTGCATCTTTGCAAGCAATGGGGACTTGATCGAGTGACCCACGATCACCTAAACCCAGTTAATCAAAAAAGATGGAATTGAAACCATGGTCTGTAAATAATGATGGTAAAATTCAAAGAACAGAGGAGGAAATATTAAAACTAACCTCCCACATCCCATATTCGAAAAGCAATTCTTGCTCCTCGAACGGATAACGTTTTATCCATTAGATTTAACCCTTTCATCCCCAGGCTTCTCTTCTCCTGTTCATCGCCTACATACTTGACCTGTAAATTATTTGCAGTAACAAGTCGCTTAATACTAATTTTTCTGAAGAAACACTTACGGAAACAATCTGTGGTTTAATTAGTTAGACCCTAGTAAATGGTTTACCATGAAGAAACCATCTTTTTGTCGCAGTAAGCCTTTTGGAAGAATAAATGGTTCAGTTTTTCACTCACCACAAAGCTTGTTTTCCCGATTTGGCAGTCCCCCAGTATGCTGATCTTCAGGGTCACCAAATCCGAATCCGTTTCGTATCCACTGCAAGTCGGATCGTCGGGGCTCTGCCCGGAATCGGCGGCCTCCGTTGCCGGAGAGGCAGGCCGGCGGGAAAGCTTCCGGTAACGTCCGGGCCTCCCGGTGGAGCAGACTAGAATCCTTTCCCAAATAAACCGGAATAGCTGCCGGAAAATCGACACCCTCTCTAGCCATCTCCACCGGACGTTGACGTGGACGATTCTCCGGCAGTGCTGCGTCATCTTTCCGGCGGCTTCACGGATGGGTTCCATCATGAAAATCTAGGGCGGGTTCTGGTTCTGTCATAGTCTCTCTTTTTTTGAGCTTTTTTGTGAATTCAAGGGGCAAAGCCGGAAGATGGCTTAGGGTGGTTGACCGTGTTTTGCGATAATCCAACAGTCCAAGTTGCCGGCTTTTTGGGGGTTGCGTTGCTCTGGGTATTTAGGTCAATTAGGGTAGGCACGGAAGTTATAGGGTGAAATATAGGCCCCCTAGATATTTGGAAATTCTTAATTTGGCCTTTCTTGTTTCAACTAATGCAATAAAGTCCTTGAACTAATCAAATCAATGTCTACACGCAATATTTAATTCAAGAAATAAAAGAAGGGACGTCAATATTAATGTAGTATTGTGGTGGCTTGAAGCATGTATGTTATAGGAAATATTATATTGACCTCCTCAACTATTAATGGCTCATCACGTACATTTTTGAACTAAAAAAAAAATCAATTGCTCCCTTGAATTTAATAATCAATATTAATTTTAACTATTATACTTGACAAATTAGTTAAATTACTAAAATTACTTTCACATATATACTAAAATTATTAATTTATCATTAATTTGTCTTACAACCCAATCTCTTACCCCCTTCCCCTAATCCATTGACCTAATATGCTCTCTCCTTGCCTTCCATCACATACTCAACATCATCATGGCCCTCCCCCTCTTTCTATTGGCTACTTGCCACCTTGGTCCCATGTTGTCCTTAAGTTCTGTGTCTCATCTTGTGGACGAGGGATCAAGGTAGACCTTCTCATGAATCTTGAAGCCGAAAATTAGTTATAGTGAAGAAGAGTCCAATCAACGAGTTGTGAACAAGATGGTAAAACAAGGTAGTAAAGCCAAATCTAGATGATAAAATAGGGAAACAAACTCAAATCTAAATCATAGACAGTGGTGAGCAATGGTACTATTAAGGGAGCAAATGCTAGTCACACATTTGCAGCCAATGTACACATTCAAACATTGGAAATCACTTAACTATATTCGTTTGACATTGACAATCTTCAATTAGTAACAGTCGAGAATTACCATTCAATAGCACCTCTAATTGAAGGCTTTGCATTCAACGTCATTCATGTCTCTATGAATAGCATTGAGTACAACATTTCAACAATTCAATAAGAGATATTAAAATAATTTAATTAGTGACTTTGACCATTAAAATTGATACTGAGTGTTAAATTAAGGGGGTAATTGATTTTTTAGTTGATAGGTGTATTTGAGAGGCTATTGATAGATGAAGGGGGTTAATATAAATTTCTCTAGTTTTATTTAAAATCTTACTAAGAAGAAATAGGCATTTTTGCTCGTCTTGGCTTGTCATACCGCATGGTTTGTCCACGAGTTTGACTAAGGTTCAGGCGGGGTTTTACATCTCAATTACATTGGTGCGAGGACTTGAATGCAAAAGTTAAAAGGTTAATAGAAAGAATCGAGAGTTTAAGGGACCGTTGGTGCAATTTACCCAAAGACCCTAGTACATGGCCTGAGGGCATTGTAGTCATTCAGCATATGGAATTGTTTGGTGAATAAGCTTGTTAAAGAGATAAAGCTTTATCCCCTCCGTGTAAGAGAGCAAAGGAATCCTGTGAGTGGTCTGCGGGGTTAGAAAAACATACAAATAAAAGGGACATATTGGGTGTGTTCGTGGGAACTGAAGAACGGTGTGAGTGCTCTGCTTTTCGGGACAAACGAGAGGTCATGATCCGGCGGTTGGTGAAGCAAAGCATTTACGTGGCAAGCTTTTATTTGTTTGGTGAAGCAAAGCATTCACGTGGCAAGCTTTTATTTGTTTAATTATTTTGAGTGGGAGGAATGATCCCATGGTCCAAGCTCATGAAAATCACAAAGTCCTGGCCCTTGACTGGCGGATCTAGATCAGGAAATAAAAACTTGTGGAATACAGGGAAAAAGCTGAGTAAAACAGTAGACATTATGGCACAAATTCCCCTCGCCTTTTGGCAAAGAATATTGCTCTTGTCCACTCTTATAAACCCACGTGGAAAAAGAAATTAAATAAATAAAAAAGTTATATATTGGCCCATAAAAGGATTAATATCGGATTTTATTTTTATTTTTAATAAAATTAGAAGAAATTATTTTTATTTTCTTTTTTTTTTTAGAGGGAGAGTAATGCAGTGTTGAATTTGAGGAGGGAGGGAAGAATCAATTTTTAAAGTAGAAAAAAGAGTGGTTGATTACCCATAACAAAAGCAACATATGGCTTTCCCTTTCTTTATCTTTGATTTCTTCTTTCCATCATTCTATGCCTTTTGGTGTACCAAATGCCTATACATTATTCATACAAAAATTAAATAATAAATAATTTAATACGTTATTTTTATTGGGCATGACTTTGAACCATTTTTTCATCTCCTAGGCTCCATTTGGTTTCAAATTCAAATAGAATCCAACTCACAAGGTCTTCCGCTTTTTCCTGTACTAGATACTAACAGTTAATTCAATAAAATTATTAATTCTAATATCTATTTAATTATAATTAAATTTGATTTTGATATTAATTTAATAAATATAAGATATAATATCTTGTCTTATATCAATTTCTAAATATAATATTATGTAATATGTAAAATTCTTACGAATTACTATTGAAATAACTAGAATAAGTAGCTCTCATGTTTTCATAAATGATATTAGAGTAAATGATTCTTAGATTAGTTCCATTTGCATTATGTTTAGATATAAATTATGTTTGTATTATGTTTTACAAATATAAAATTTATGACTAGACAAGATTATCAAGTATTTAAGTAGAAAAAATTATAATATCTTGTTGACATCAATTTTTAAGTATAATATTATATAGTATATAAATCTTTAAAATAACCACTGAATAATTTAAACTCAATATTTTGAGTTACTGATTAAAATCAACAAATTTCTAAATTAAGTAACTGTTAATATTAAATAAATCCTTCCCCAAAAAAAAAAAAAAAAATCCTTCAAACACACTCCATCTTTTTCAATTGCCAAAAAGAATCAGACATGAAATAATACATGAAATGGGATAAAACAAATAAAACCATGTTTGGCTGCGTGACCATAAAGAATTGCATGCCCCCACTTAGAATAAGTCAGTGCAACCTAACCACTATTCATTAGGTGATGAATTGATGGGGAGCGACCCTAATCCTAATACCCTTGCCCAGATGGTGAAATGGACCAACCCAAATCCCTAACCGTCCAACGGATCAAGAATGGACACCTAGGGGAGTTGCCAAGACTTTAACCACCAACTGCCCTATCTGTCCAAGTATTTGTTGGCTATACGTAGAGCTTAGGGCACCAAACTTATAATGATTCATTAAAATAAGGAAAATCCTTGTTTTAGAAGTGGTCAGATTGTAAATGTCTCCAATTGTGCCTTAAAATATTGGAGTTTGATTGAGAAATTCCTTGCAAATCCTAAAGGTATGTTTGCGTGTGCTTCCTTCCTTTTAAATCTTAAACCTCTTATTTCTTGTCCATATACTGATACCAAGCACACGCCTTTACCACATCGAAGGAAGGCCCAAGAGACCTCAATGATAGAACCAATCTACTACATGTCATCCATTGATTGAACCTTCTAAACCCCCTTGACAAAACAACCGTCTTCCAAAACATTCTTCAATTATTAATTTCCTTTTCCCTCTGATTTTTTTTTTTTGAAAAATTACCAAGAGAGTGGGTTTGATTAAAATATTAACCAAAGAGTCAAAATCAAAATTATTAATTTCGAAGATTCGAAATAAAATTTTTTTCTAATTAAACTAATTTAATTTTTTAAAATATCTTTTTATCCACAAATATCATCTGTAATTTTATAATTATACATCTATATTTTTACAATAATACATTTATAATTTTACAAGCACTCATTTGTAATTTTACAAGTATATATTTGCATTTTTACAAACTTGTATCTAATTTTTTATAAGCATGTATATATATTTATAAGTATACTTGTAAAACACACAATGAGTGTACATAAAATTACAAGTACATGTTTGTAAACAAATAAATAAATACTTGTAAAATTACATATATATTCTTGTAAAAATACATGTATATTTACAAAATTATAAATATATTATTGTAAAAATATAGATACATATAAAATTATATATTATACTTGTAAGTAAAAAGATATTTTAAAAAATCAAATTATCTTAATTAGACAAAAATTTTGTTAGTAATTTTTTCTTTTTTTTCTTCATAAGTATTGTTCTCCATAAACAATATGAGATTAATGAGATCAATCCTATTCAAGATACTTTGACTTTCCCTTTCCAAAAATATACTATCACTTATTTAAATCTAATTTTCCGTGAAAAAATTGGGTCGAATAAAAAAAATAAAAGAAAGAAAAGTCTAATTTAAATCATATAAATTAATTATTTCTCGTCTTTTTAAAAATATATATATAAACACGTAAATCTATCTTTCATTATTAATATTAAAAAAAAGATTTGTAAAGAGATGTCCTCTTGCCAAAGATCACCCCGAAGCCCATTTGTCAATCAATCAACTCTTTTGGGTTGATAATTTCTCCCACTTTTTGGTCTTCTTCTCGTCTTTTACGTGTTTAATTCATATTTTTCCTCCATGAACAGACGCTAATCACTTACAGTAATTCTACTTAACGTCAGACCAACCAGCCCTTGACATGACACGTATATTTAAATATCTGTACCGTTGCCTTATCTCAAATTCTGAAAACCACAAAAGTCTCAAGTGCAATAGTTAGTCGTGTGTTCATCTTGGGGGGAGAATAATAAGCTATCCATGGAATTTGAAATTTGCTCACAATTACCGTATTAATTACTCTTACTAATTATTCTATTTTTAAATTTTTTATTCAACTTTTAAAACTTTTAATTTTATCACTTGAATTTTTGTCAAAAATTCTAAGCTCATATTTCATTTAACAAAATTCTTACAAATTTTGTAATATGATTTTTAACGGCCAATAATTATAATTGTCGATAAAGAAAAGTAAATTAGTGGCCAATCACGTAATTCTCAATAAATAAAGAAACATTACACAAGTTAACGATAATTATTTAATTACTTTTTATTAATTATTACTAAAAAGTGTTATTTCATGTTGTACTAACTTATTACCTAAATTTACTTCTTAAGTTTCAAATTATGTGTTTTTAAAATTTATATAAAAATATTTAATTATAAAATTCTTAGTATTCTCAACTCTTTGGAGAGAGAAAGGGGGATCCCTTGCGTTCCCATATGTAGAATTTGCTGGAACGGTTGAGAGAGCAAATTTAATTCTCCCAATTGATTTATCTTGAGAAAATGACTGTTCACAGTTGGAACTTCTTTATTGTACGGTCCAGAAAGCATTTGTCTCTTCCAAATGGAGCTTTTCAAAGAAGCCAGACAAGCTGATAAGAAGTCAACTTTTTCTCTAGAAAATTTAAGAAGCTAAAGTCCAAATGAAGAAGCCACGCGGCTATTAAACAAGGTGCCCAACACCTAATGAAGCCAAACAATCATTGTTTACTTATGTTAATGGTGTGATTAGTTATGATTTTATGTTTTTGCCCTTTAATAATTTTAATTTTATGTAAAAAGGAACTATATATAGGTTAGCTTATGGGAAGTATTTCCATCACTTTTAGTTCTCAAATATTAGTCTTAGAATTTTTTTTTGAGAGGCATGTTTAGGTTTTTTTTTTTTTGGTCAAATTACTAGTATTTAGAACTTACTAAAATTTGACTAATTTGACTTGAATTACCTAAAATCCAATTACAGAAATAGAATTCTTCCAGCGAAGATATATTATTTATTTTTTTAGTCACTCAAGAAGTATCCATCGCCAGTAACAGTGATTAATCCCCTCGCAGTTCTAAACTCACTAAAGTGGATCATTAAAGTTTGACTAATTTGACTTAAATTAGCTAAAATCCAATTACAGAAATAGAATTCTTCCAGCGAAAATATATATATATATATATATTTTTGGTCACCCAAGAGGTATCTACCACCGATAACAGTGACTAATCTCCCTTACAATTCTGAGCTCACCAAAGTGGGTAGGCTGTTGGCCACGAAACGCTACTCTATTCCCATGGGTAGGGATCAAACCCCGCACCTTATGCTTAAAGGACAAGGCTAGCTACCAACCATGCCACCTCTCGTGATTTCCAGTGAAGATGTTTTTAATATACAAAACTTGAATCGGAGATTTTATTTAAAGAAAATAGAATATCTATTATTTCAACCAATCATATGTTGGTGTTTGCTATGTTATTTTAATTACTCGCCTTCTTGTGATGTTACAAGAGCATTAATAATTTGTTACAAACTTTTATATTTCACTTTTGACTTTTAAACTTTAATTAGATTTAAAATTTTAAAATTAGTAAAATTAATTTTAAATTATACATGAATAATACAACGAGGAGTTATAGAAAAAAAAAAAAAAGAAAAAAACCCTTATATTTGGAGACATTTTTCATGCTTGGAGAAATCTTTTAACTGGCCTTGGAGAGAATTTAGCAGACGGGTATCAAATTTACTGGCTCAAGATTTGGATTGGATTTTCTGTAATTTCCAATAATACTATTATAATTCTTTAGTTCACCTATCCATTAAATGAAGTATGTTAAAAATGACTTGGTGTTGTAAGAAATTTTGCCCTGGCGGGACGGGGGGAATAATTTGGGCTAGCACCAAATAATGAGAAGACACCTGCAACCTCACAAAAGGTAAGGGTGTTAACGGATATAATTCAAATAAAATCAACTTTATCAAAATTTCAATCTGATGACTGATTTATATTAGAGGTAAGCATAAGTCTATATAACCTGAACCACTTGTACTTGTCCGTAATCTTCCAGTTTATATTAATATTTATAGGATAATAGTTTAAAATTCTGCAACTCACTCGTAATTTAGTCATGTGACAGTTTAAATAATGAGGAGACGCCTACAACCTCACAAAAGGTAAGAGTGTTAACAGATGTAACTCGAAAAAAATCAACTCAATCAAATTTTCAATCTAATTACTGATTTATATTAGGGGTGAGCATAAGTTGATCCAACTTGACCCATCTGTAGTCCATCATCTACCAGTTTATATTAATATTTATAGGATAACAATTTAAATTTGTACCACTCACTCATAATTTGGTTAGATGACAGTTTAAATTTTAACAAATCTGTTAGCACGTAACCTGTCTGTCATATATATGTAACACACATATACACACTAATATTCACATAATTATATTTCAATAGATTCATGTTATATTAAAAAATAAATAAATTGTTTTATTTTATAATTTTCTTCTATCAAAGAAAAAAAAAGTGGTTAATAAAGTGTTGAATTTAATAGATTAATTTTTTCTAAATTATATTTTTATTGAGTTTTATTTATAGTGGACCAACCTGCCAATTCACGCATCAATCTGCCCCATTTTATCAAGCCGAACTATGCAGTTTAAAAGGATAATAGGAGATGTGCGGTTTGATATTTTTGTCACCTGCTCATGTCAAATCAAGTTAATGTTTTAACACAAACCTGCTTAAAGCTGCTCATACTCACTCCTAATTTATATAACCGAATTCAGTTTGAGGTTATGTAAGACATTTATCTTTTAATTCATATCTAAATCTGATAAATAATTCAAAATTCGATAAAAAAAATATTCGATCCAACTAGAAAATAGTATTTTTTTATTTTAAAGTCCCTAAACTCCATTTTATAAATCACATTGATTTTGAATTTTTGAACTTTTGAATTGAATTTCTACATGTTTGAATTTATCAATAATATATATAATTATTAATTTAATAAAAAATAATTATTACATTTAAATTCAACATTTTTATGAATTAGATTATTTAATTCTAAGTTCAATCCACTTATATTAAATTAAAAATATTTACAATTAGATATAATCCATCAGATTTTTTAAACCAAATTTAGGTTCTAAAATTCTAATCAAATTCAGGTTAAAATCCAGCTTATTAATAACCCTAATCTTAGGCATCAAGGCTAAATAAAAAGTATCCTCTTAATATCAAATTCTTTCCTGAGGCTTCATTTAATTATAAAATTTATAATAATTCCATTTTTTAAAAAATGAAAAGAAGCTTTGTTTGATTTATAAAAACAAAATACACAAGGGGTTGTAGATTGCAATTTGCAGCTTATTGGTTGTTTACTTTAGTGAAACTAAAGTGTTTTCTGAGACTAATTTTTGTCTAAGATTAATTTTTTTTGAACTGAAAACGTAAAATGTTAAAATTTCTTTTTACAAGTGTACTTTTGAACAATTAAATTTGTATTTTTATCATGTTCAGGATAAAAGCTACTTAATACCTCCACCAATACTTATTGGTTGACTCATTGAAAATCTTTTTTTTTTTTTTTTGGTTACTCATTGAAAATTTTTTAAAATGTGGAAATGAGAGCTCTAAGTCCCAATGAATGGATTGGATTGAAAAGCCCACCCAAAATCCAGATTTCGGTATGCCTAGTCCGGCTACTGCAAGACCTCGCTAAAAACCGGGCTCTGTCTCCGTCGCTCTTTAAACTTTTGGGCCCAACAGGCCAGGAAAAAAAAGTATTGGGCCTCACCCGCTTTGTCACGTGACTCGTGCCATTCCCTTCTTCGTCCACCCTCTAGTTCTGCAACTGAACCGATCAGCCTAGGGTTTAACATGAGTTTTTGGTGAAAGAATTGCAGAGAAAATCCTCTAGAAATGTCTTCTGATTTTTATAAAAGCAAAACATTACTTTTCTAAAGACAAACAAATCATAGTAGGTCCTCTGTTGGCTCTCACCTTTCTCTCTCGCCGCTCCCAACCGTCAGCTTCCTTTCTCTTCTCCACGAAGGATATTCTCATATTCATCTGTTGTCAATCCTCTGGCAAGCTTGTTAGTACTTTCTATTAGCCTTCTTTTATTGCTTTGTTTTTCAATTTGGTTGTGAACTAGATGGCTCATGGGTTACCCGTGAAAAAGGATTGCAGTTCATTGAATCAGGGAAATTTGAGTAAAAAGAAGAGAATTGCGGAAATTTTAAATTATGAGTATTAATAAAGTTAATTAATTTTCATTGATTAACTCGCGCATATGATATGGTTCATCCTATTTGTGTTAACTCATGATGTTGTGACCTTATCAATTATTTTCTTTGTCTTTTGTTCAGATTGATAATTTGTAGATTTCCCACTTCCGGATCAGCATGTCCCTTTACCCCATATTTATTAAATTACAACCCTCGAGCACAATGAAAAGAAATTCCCCTTAAAATTTTTTCAATGGCAACCAAGCAAAGAAAACTTGAATTTTCCTTTTCTTTTCCTTTCCCGTTCCTACCAAAATCCTAGTTACAAACGGAGCCTAAATAGACTAATATGATTTAGAACTATTAATGTTTTTGTTGGCTTTAACACCTGTTGTTCTCTATACTGTTGAATCATGTTTGCGCAGTGTTTCCCGTGCAGTGGAACAAATGGGTTCAGATATTGAGATTATAGGGGAAAGATTGGAGTCTTTCCTTGGTCAACTTCAAACTGAATATGGCATTCTAGATAGAATTGTATATAAAAACAAAAATCAGCACCGGCGAAGCTCATATTTTCAGCACCTTCTAAAGGTAATTGTTTCATATAAGCATTACTCTGAAATACATACATGTTACACGTACTTTATATAAATGTTTCTATTATCTTCTTTATTCTAAGTTTGTTACATACATTTGATGTTAGGTGAGGAGAGATTTGAGGCTACTACAGTCAACTAAATTAGAGGAGCTTTTAGCCTCTTCCTTTCAAGTTATCAAAGGAACAAGACCAAAACAAAAGGTGCAGCTTTTGGAAAGGTAAAATTGATTTTTATTTGATATCTGTCATGCATTCTTATCCAAATGTAGATTGAAATTATTGAAATGCTCCTTGAATAACCTGCTGTCATGTCATGTTGGTTGTTTGATATGGTATTAGGCAACTGATAAATACTCATCTTTTACAATTCAGAGTTCAAGTCATGAACCAAAAAAATATTACAAAACCTTCCTAAATATTTTTTATGGGATGTAAGAAAAGGAAATTTATTGGCTATCTGTTGGCAACACATTAGTTCATTATATTAGTTATATGTTATGCATGCAGGTATAGGCTTTCTAGAATGTGCACAGTGGTGATCATATAATATGAACTTTTCAAATTCTAAGGACATTAAGATTTTTTGTTGCATGAAACTTACTGATCAATCATATCAACTTTATTCTCGTGCTTGTGTGTATAACTTGTGATGCAACCTTTTTTTTTTTTTAAAAAAAAAAAGCCCTCATTTGTACTTCAGGGTCTCAGAAGGAACAGCAATGAAGGTTATTTTCTGGAACAATGTGGTTATTTTACATTTGGCATAGTGTTATTCATATAGCAAAAGTTCCAACACACATAGTTGATTTTTATGTCCTTTTTAATCTGATAGTTTAAAGAGGAGGAAATGCGATGGCCAAAAATTTAACTTTTTGGAGCGGATTTTGGGGGCTGCACGTCTGTTGTCACAGGTGAAGCCTTTCTTTTTTCTAATTTATATTTTGCTTGTGTCACTTTTTCTTTCATTTTGCCTCTCTCTCTCTCTAAGTGTATTGATTTGAGCTTTTGAATAAGTATAATGAATAAAAGAAATTGCTCAAAATTGGTAGTGGCAAAAGCAGAGAGAGGAAAGGGGAGGAAAAATGGATACCCCAGGAACCTCAGGAGAGTAACACATCCATGAGGTCAGAAGCTTGATAGGTGGATTGCTTGAGTTACCTCCTTTTTACCTTTCTTTTTCTATTGCAGATGGTTGAGCCAATGCTGAAGGCAGCTACGTATCCCTTTGTGTTTGTCACTCAAATTTCAACTATATTTCTGGATCTTATATGCACTTGATTATCTGTTTCTGGTCTACAAAGCCTCTGGATGTCATCCCTAGATAATTTATTTTCCATGTCACAGTCACAGTGATTCATAAATAATTATGTTGCATGAAGAATAATTCTGTATATCCAAAGGCCAAATAAATCCTACACCAGTTGTTCTTTATGCTTATCTGTCCATTTTTTAGATCGTGCAGTTTGGATATTCTTTTTGGTTCTGATTTTAGAATATTTGGGAAATCAAATTAGATGTTTTCCTTTGTTTCTGAAGCTTCAGCTATGAAAACCCAAAATCCAAGATGATTATATTTAAAATGGCTATGATTCTCTCTGGGTTAAATTGATGCATTTTCTTGGGCCATATTTTAATTTGTGCCTTTGTTTTGCTCTATTGATATGGGATATAAACTATGTCTTATGAATTATTTCAAATTTTGTTGACTGAATCACGTGGATACATAGAGAATATGATTCTTCATTATCTAAGCTTAACTATGTTCAGAGAAGTATCTACTTTGCTTGCTCAATCATTCTTTATGGGTTTCTCCCTGACAGTTCTGGCTTTGCTTGCACGCATGAGAGTTTTGGTTCAACAAGTAAGCACCTTTCATTTTCTTGCAAATTATATGCATCATTCAGGTTTTTAGAATAAAAAACTCTCGAGGCCTATTATTAAAGTTTTGAGGTTGTGTAATTTTCTTAAGACTTAACAACCCCTCTTCCACCAAAAAAAAAAAAAAGAGGAAGAAAGAAAGAAAGGAAAAGAAACTCCTGGGATTTGCTTATGGCACTAACCATTGTCACTTGGGCAATCCTTGAAGAATATGCTGAAGTTGAAAGATTTTCTCATAGCTTATCTGTGAAGTTGTACCCTTCTTTTCCTTCTACAGATATTGCTTGATGTCGTGGAAATGTTCAACACGGTTTCCTCTCTATCTCAAAAGGAGCATTCTGTGAAAATTACTCATGAAGGTTTTGAGGCATGTTTTTTCCCCCTGTTTAATCAGTTCTTTGCAAGGTGATCTTTTATTACCTATTGTCTGCAACTAACTATTTTCCATCTTTCCTTTTTGTGCTTTTTCCAGGTCTTCCGAGAATATTATCCAACAAATGAGCAATCTGTGTTGTTGGAATGTGTGTGGGAAACAGATAAGTTTGTGTTACATGAGAGGATCAGTAAGAGCCAGACCAAGAGCTGCGACAAGTTTATGGATGCAATTTCTCTTGGAGCATCCAAAATTCAGTATCAAAGTGTTGAGTCTTTTCTGGGGGGTAAGAACATACTTAAAATGGCATTTGACTTTAGTGCTTCATGCAATTGCATTATGCTTCCATGATCAAGCTTCTGGGGATGCAGGAAGTCTGCAAGTTAATTATCCTTGTTTTGATCTTTAGATTTTATATGTTTTTTCTGCAAATATGAAGCATCCTTTCTGTCCATTGATTGTATAGTCTACTAGACCAACTTGACTAGGATAGCATTATCCAGTCTATTGTTCCTGTGGAGGAATTGAACAATGAAACAGAAATTATGCAAGAAAATGGCAGATGCAGGGCAAAATTTGGGAGTGCCATTTAGGAAGTAGTATTTTTTCTGTTTTTGGTCATTGAAAATATTATGTCCCAGCTTATTCTTGGCATGTATTATCCTGGATTTCATATGGCAGCTGCTGCATATGACATCAATTTATAAATACATAATAAGTGCAGGCTGCAGGCGTCTTCATATAGTAGCACGTTTGAATTATTCTGTAGGCAGATTTTTAATCTGGCTCTTAAATACAATGACAAGCAGTACATCTTGGAAGGGTCCATATAACTATATATCAAAATGTTCTCTCTAGCATTCTCATTGGCTAGTATGCTGCTGTCTTACTGTTTCTCTTATTGTTCCATGCAAACTTATGCTGCATTATTACATCCAATTACTATTGCACTCTGCAGATGATGAAACTGGCAAGGTGGATCCTAGCAAAACTTCTGAAGGCCTCACCTACAGCAAGGTTAATAATGATGGTTCATTGGAGGGTCCTGTCATCGAGAGTGAAGGTGAGAATCAGGTCAAGAGTATTCTAAAAGCAGGTGATAATTCGGATGTTGCTGCAACTCCTATAAAGAAGCCTTGTGAAACTGGTTCTAGTTCATTTCCAAGTTCAAGTTCACCAAAATTCATGTCAGGATCAAGGAGCAAAGTGGCTTTTCTGTCGGTAAAGGTGCCCACAACCTCAACAGCAAATTTAACTGGGCCTTGCATTATGGGAACTGGTGGCCAGGATAATGAAAAAGAAGATCCATTCTTTGATTTACTTACAGGTGGAAATAGGAAGAATAGTCTATTCTAAACCATTTTACTGCGGTGTTGCCTTGCCCAATTGGATGTTGCTCCTAGGTTGTAGTTAGTTATACTGACAAGAGCAAAGATGATTAGGAGTATGGTACAACTTATATTCGTTGTTTTGACTAATTTATATTAAGCTTAGACATATCCAATTGACAATTTGGACAACCCAAGTAGCAGCCCTAGATATCAGGCTTAGTTCAAGTTTAGTGATGAATGGATGCCGGAAGGTCTCTCTCTCCCTCTTGTAATGAGAACCTTGCATGTAACAATACAAAAAGGCTGCTGATTTTGGTGAATTCAAAAATCTATTAAGTCCCGTTGCCTAAAAATTGGGCTGTTTTTAACCAGACACGTTTTTTGTACATGGTAGAACTGTGAACATCGTTTTTCTTTATCTTTTCACACATCGGAAAAGAGGGAGCAGCTTGTTGTACATAAATGAAGATATGTGTAGAAAATTTTGTAGTCTAAAATATTTTGTTCATTTCAGATGAAAGCATCAAATATGGAGATTTTTTAAAGCCAAGTAACATAGTCAACATGTTTAAATAAATTCTTTGACTGTTTTCAATTTGTTCTCTCTTATCTTGACACCGTTCCTACTGCTAACTGCCAAAGCATCCGTGACAGATGGAATTAAGTCATGAAACAAAAACAGATACATAAAAATATATAATATACGTCAAATGGTAGGACTGATCATTTCACTTTAAAAATTTCACAAGGGCAAGAAAAATAACAATAAAAAGAAGACAACGTGCCAGCAAAGGCTCATGATCATGCCTTCTGAGAGGAAAAACCAAGAATTAAATCCTTGATTTCCTCACTGGCTGCCTTATCAAGTGCTGTGAGCCCATCTGCATCCTTGACTGTATGACTAGCTCCAGCTCTTAGCAGCTCCTCAATTTTCGGCTTATCGCCTTCTGAGGCAGCCATCATCAACAAGATATCTACTGGGTGGATGTTTTGGCTTAAAAGGGCCTCCATCTTGTCATACGAACCTTCAACAGCTAGCATCCCCATGTAGTTGAAGTACTAAAATAACATAAACGACCTACTTAATCATGGAACTTCAACAATAAAAAGTTCATTAACTTGTACACATATTTCACCACGTTTGTATACAAGTAAACCTAAGATATGTGTCTTAGGAAGAACAGAAATTATTAAAAGAGGAAAAGACTGATCATATCAAAAACTAGAAAGACAAATGTATAATCCACCATACCAGTTCAGGTGGAGTATAGCTATCCAGCTGAACAACGAAGCAGGGAAACAAGAAACACGCAATATGGCTGCCAACATATGTAAAGCAAATTTAATTCACATCTCAAGTACACCACTCTTGGCAAGCTCATATAATCTTCATATAAAACCTGGAGTAGATAGTACGGTCTAAGTCCTGTCATTCTGAAAGAAATTTGATCGCATTGTCCTGAACTAAGAATTGATGGGAAATGGGAGAATTCCTACCACAATCTATAGGGTTTACAGAATCTCCACTGCATGACCTCTAGAAGTTCCCATCCTATATAACAATAAAGTCCTCCACAAACAAAGCACAATATTTATTTCATCTATGCATGCAGGCAACCTCCTAATCTTAATATGTTTCCATATTGACAAATCGGGAGACTTGGAAATCATCTGTGATCAAAATGATGTTCCACAAACCAAGCACAGAAACATGCCCAGCCAGCCAGGCAGCATAACTTCTTTGTCATAGTTATCTTCCTCTTCTCTTCCCATAACTGAACTGTTTTATATCCTGTATTTGGGCTTATGCATTTTACATCTGTTGGCCTTCTGACTTAAAAACTCAACATTTGAGCTTCAACCCAAAAGCGTGGACACACCGCCCCCCCAAAAAATAAAAAAATAGTCGACTGCTTGTAAATGAACGTGTTCTGCAATGGACATGGAGATTTTAGGTGCATGTGCAGGAGCTCGAGTTCCAATGCTTGAACATTCTTCTGCTAAAATTGGCAACAAAATGTGGTTCTAAAAGTTCACAAGTTCTCCTAGTGACTCAGTTTGAGCTAAATTTAGAAGGGAAAGTGAGTATAACCAGCCTAGAAGAACAAGCGAACAGCAGCTAGAACCAGACTTCTTTTTGCTGAAGCACACTACCTGTTCGACATCGTCGCGGTCGAAATCATCCCGGGTTTGGCTCCCGTAAATCCCAGCACCTTCAGCGTCAACGCCATTTTTGCCGAACCTGAACCAGCAAGTGGCCCTAGAACCGGCGCTGGGCGGTCCGATTCTAGTGGGTCTGGACCATCCAAGCCTCTTCCGAGAACCCACAAACAGAGAATTGATAGTAGGCAGGTTCGGAGCCGACCTAACTGAAGAAGATGAAAAATTGCAAGACTGGAAGGCGAAGACTGGCCGGACGGTACCGGGACGGAAGCCATGTGTGGAGTTTCACAACTGGGAAGCTCTAGATAAGAGATTTATGGGTTTCTTAGAACTTTGTTTAATTATAATAATTTGAAACAAGAGAGCAACAAATCAGAGTGGCGCAGCGGAAGCGTGGTGGGCCCATAACCCACAGGTCCCAGGATCGAAACCTGGCTCTGATAAGAGAGCAGCTTCCCACACTCTTTTTCCTTCCGCAGTCTCTCCCTTTTTTTCCCCCTTTTATTTCGATTAATTTGCCAGAGAAACAAACAAAATCGAAATCTCTCTATAACTAACCACAAAATGAATTTGAGATTTTTTAGAAGTAGAATTAAAAATTTTGAATTTAAATAAAATAATTCTTATTTGACTTACTGAATTAATAAAAATGAGTTAAAAATAAAAAATTAAGTTTAAAAAAAATAAATTTATCAGAATACACCGTCTTCCCTTTTTTTTCCCCTCAATAAAACAAATTTCGAATTCAAAAATTAATATTTTCCGTTTGGAGAAAATCCAGACCATCCATGTAAAAATAGATGGCCCAGATTAAGAATCCCCATTTCCCTGTCCTTTTCCTTCCGTTGGAAATTATCAAAAGAGAAATTAACGAATTAAAGTTAATATTAGGCAACGAGAATATCGCATCCATCATCCACCGCCTATTTAACATGTTTGTTCACGGGTACAAGAGTTGTCCAGCACGAACCCCTGCTTTTGGGAAGGTGGAAATATTGGATATCCAATCCTGTCCGTCCGACTATGCCCAGAATAGAGTCGGGGAGACTATTATTCCCCGCAACGGGGATAACTTTATCCCACCCAATCCTTGGGACAATTTGTCGCCGTGATGGATCATCTCTTCCCGTCTTTCAGGCCATCTGATGGCTCACAAATCGTAGTTCCAGTCACTGAACTTGTTATCTCCTCTGATCAAACGGATCATACTATTTATAAACAATCCCATCTTATCCTATGAAAGTTTGTTTTATCTCACAGAACAGAATTTGATCACATATATCCAATCTTCCAAATCTAATCCGGCCTACCAAACATGCCCAATTCATACGTTCCTTTCAGTAACAGCCATAATTGAGAGAACAAGAAGTCAGAAGTTTGTCAATGGGTTAAAAAGTAACTCATTTTTAAATGCATACACATGATTAAGGTGACCGAGGCACCACTCAGCCCCCCAACAACGGTGCCTTTCACTTCAGGTAAAGAATATAAGGTAAAGAATTCATGTGACAACACCAGCATGAGTCCAAAACCAAAATGGCAGAGACCCAAAGCAATCTCTCAACCAAGAAAAGATCCAAAACCAAAACTACAACCAAAACCTCTCTCCGTCTAAAAACCTCCTCCTCCCCTCCAACCAAACAAAAGACGATGTATAAATCCAGCAATATTTCCACAACAATCCCAGAGAACATGGATGCAAAAACTCCAGTAGAAATAGGCACAAAGGGCACAGTTGGATCCCTCGTAATGAAAGAAATTGAGTATTTTAGCCAGCTTGGATTAGGCCCTCCAATTATCACTGAGAAGCCTCAGAATCAATTGACAGATGTTGCCTCCACAAGCAGTTACACCACACCAAAGATTAGATCTTTAATCACAAACCCAAAAAGAAGAAGAGAGGAGGAAGCAAGCTCATACCAAGCATGTGTTCCATAGTGAAAGTTGCAAAGACCAATCAATCAGATGTCTCAGCTGGATTCAGTTACAGGAACCTGAAAGCTGACGCAAAGAAACTGCAATCTTAGGCTATGCTCTCAGAAAGCTTTGAGAAACCAAGCTTCTTGAGTCTACTTGCTATGGGGCTGGCCCATGCCCTATCTACATTGCCGCATTTTATGTCCACGACTTCAACTATGTAAGGTCCTCTCTTACCAGGTTTAGCTCTAACAGGAGTTCCATCTAAGGATATATTATCAGATTCCAGCATAGGTATTTGGTGGCTTTTGCAGTTGTAGTGTTTTGTTTTCTGAACAATTTCTGGGCTTTTCTTGGATATGGAGCTACTGCTGCTCGCTTCATCCAGTGATGTTCTTCGCTTTAGTCTTTTGGCAGTGGTAGCATTGTTAGGCATAGTATTAGAACCTTTAGTTGATTTATTCCTAGACTTTGTTGATTCTAATTCCCTTGACATCAAGGCACTGATTGTTCCGGTAGTACCTACTTTGACAGATCCTCCACCACCCTTGATGGCTTCCAGTGTCACAACCATATTTTCCTCTGATCCTGAGAAGTTAAGTTTTCGTTGTAGGATAAAACGTACACTCCACAAAGCTGTTCAAGAACCTGTCAGTACAAACAGAATCAATTTGTAAGGTTGCATTGTTATGGCAAATTTATAATGTCATGTTAGAAAATAGAAAGTTTCATCAGATTTCATTTAATAAGTTTTTCAATCCATAATACTCCCAAGAACTAGGCATGCATAGGATGAATAAGTTGACCATAAAATAAAGGTCTTCAGCTTAACAGTCAACGGCTGCAGCATTGCAGGAGGACCAGGACCAATATAAATCAGGTACTCCCAATCGAAACAGAAAATGGGTAAAAAAAAATGGATAAATTAACCCGAGATAAAACAATGAAACATTAGTCCAAGCTCCAAAGACCGGACGTGTGGATTAAATAGGTCAAAAGAATAGAAATTTCCTAAGCGTTCTGGGTAAAGGTGCAAGAACCAGAGGGAAAGGCAAATACCGAACACATGATTTGTGACTATCGGCATACTGTTCAGATGAAAACTGAAAAGCAAATAAAAATGGCTTACCTCTAATGACAACTGAAAATCACAGTCACATGAAATAAATAAGCTTTCGAATTTGGCTACCATTATTTGCAATTGGCCTAATCATTATAATGTCTCGCGAACATGGTCATCACCAAAGACCCAAAATCAAGCTCATAAACATTATCGGGCATATAATCAAACAGATTCGAGTCATCTAACAGAACCCAGTAATCAGTAACAACAGATAATCAGAGCCATAAAATACCTAAAACCAAACAGCTGGAATTGATGGAAACCAAACGCAACAGGCCATAAAAGCCCTAATAATGGGAGATCATAAAGGGTCGAATTTAAAAAAAGCACACGGACAACCCGCCGCGCGAGTATTAACCGAAGCCCCACGAGTTTGGAGAAGGGTTATTAAATTTCTTCCAAACGAACAACAGAGATATAAAGAGGTGTACAGAGAATTGGTTCCAAACCCATGAAAAGAAGTTGAATCTCCGCAACAATCTGCGTGAAGTTGTTCGAAGTTCCGCAATCAGGCGCGTTTTATCAGGGATCTAGTCACGACCCTGAGAACGTCTCTGTGTCCGTGATTTCGTTATTGACTCTGCTTGTTATGCCGTCCAAAAGTGGCGTAGTAAACGGAAGCTGAGGAGGTAGGACAGGATCTGACAAGAATCGTGCATATTAATGTGGTCGTGGCTCCGTTTCTCATTCATTTTTGTTTGGTGGATTTAATTTTCTATGGTCTTTCACGTCTGGCCTGGGTCCCAACTCCAGGAAGTCCTTCTTACTTATTTCAATTCATCTATCGTCTATTCATCTTTGTGTTTTTATGCAAAAACAAAAGAGAGATCAAAGGAAAAAGAAGTAATTTCTATCGTTGTGTTTGTTCTTGTCGTAAAAAGTGGATCTTTCTATATTTTTAACAGATCCTAAATATCTCGTGTAAAGTCAAGGCGAGTACTAGGCATGCAGTTCTTCACCCTTCAATTTGAAAGTTAAATCCTAGATTATTAAATTTAGGAACTCAAGTGTCACGGGTTCATAGCTCTGTTTTATACTAAAAAATATTGAAATAATCACATAAATATATACTTATAATTATATATTTTATATTTATAATTACTTAAATTTATATTCATAATAATTATATTAATAAGAATATTTAAAAAATGTAAATAACCTTAATTAACAATATTTTTTTTTTGACCCTCAATGAACGTATTTATATTTTATCTCTCTGACCGGTATTTTTTTTTTTTTTAACTTTTCTTTTGTGGGGAGTGGATTGTTTGTGGGATTCGGAGTGAGTGCCCACTTGAAACTACACTAGAAGTAATCTATATTGTTGATTTTTTTAACAAAGAGTCCAATTACTTTTGAAAATACTTTGACAATAGTCTAGCTTGTTTCAAAGTCTAGTTGCTTACGGAAGTGACTTTGAGTTGGAGTTCTCACTCGCCTAAGTTATTTGAAAATCTGTCTTGAAGAATGCACTGTGCAACTCTTACAAGAGCAAACAAGGATATGCCTTCTTTATGCAAAATTACAATGTGTCCCAAAATTGAAGTAAAATCTAAACAGTAAAACATTTATAAAATTCATTCAGAATTTAAGTATTCGATCTACGAGCTTTCCATTCACAAGTTTAAGCCCTCAACTTACCAAAGACTAACAAAGAAAGGAAAAATGCCTAAACATACAAGCCTGCATACCACTTAAAATACTGGATTTTCAGCAACATAGAAATTATCGGTAGATAAAAAAATGGAAGAATTTTATATACACAGGGGGGTATCTTACAGGATCTCATTTGTTCAGAAAAATTACATGACAGCATTTACAGCACTACTTAAGCAACTCCAAGCTGAATCATGATGTTTGTACTTCGGCAGGACTAGTTTTCTGCAAATTCAAACTGAACAAGAAATATAAACACCAAGTGCCTATGTAAATGTATCGTTAGTGAATCGGAGGCAGCTAAGAAGTGCCAGCACACAACTCCATCCTCCACGCGCAAATAACTTGAAAATGCCAACGCTTCCCAATGCCAACGAATTTCAGTTCCACATATCTTCTGTTCTCACATTCTTACCGGGCTTCACTTGGCAGAGTACCAGTTTTGAGCACATTTGGCATCAACAGATAGGTCAACCCTAAGAATATTCTTGCCATTTTCAAAGGGTTTGGACATGCAATCAACTACTATGGCTTTGGCCTCCTCAGCTGATTCTGTTGGTCCCTCGAGGATCACTTCATCATGGACCTGTTACCCAAAACCACATTATATTGCAACAGGAATATCAATTCAGTGTTCTAAAGCCATGATAAACTGTTTCAAATTTTCAAATGTGTCACCTACCAATTTGGCAAAGGAGTTGAAACAGTAAATGGAACATAAGAAAGCATGATGGTAATATTGGAAATCAAGCAGACAATCTCTTAATGAAAGTACCACTTGGATATTCACTTTATAATGTGATCCATAATTCTATCTAACATAGTACAGGTTGGTTTTGGAAGATAGTTGTGTCCCTTTTATTTAGAATCGATCTGGCCAAGGGATAAAGAAGAGAGGTGGACAAACTTAACCTGTAAAAGCAGCCTCCATCCAAGCTCTTTCAAACGTGCATTGTTCGATATTTGTAACATTGCACACATGGCAACATCGGCAGCACTACCCTATAGCAATTGCTCTAGATCAGCACTTTTTTTTTTGGGGGGGAGGGGGGGGGGGCTTAAAAAATTAAGATAAAATAACCTGTACAGGTGTGTTGATTGCAGCTCGCTCTATATGAGCTTTCTGAGAAGGAGAAACATGATCCATAGAAGGGAACCGGCGGGCCCGCCCCAGCAGTGTGTGAACACATCCTTTCTCACGTGCTTCCTTTTTACGTTTTTCCTGCCAATCCTGCACTTCTTTTCTGTCACTGTACCATCGATCAACTGTTTCTTTTGCTTCCTTCACAGAAACCTGAGAGTGCAGATAGAAATTGTCGTCCCAAATTATTCAATGGAAATAAGAGTAATCACTTAATTTCAGTTTAAGAAAACAAGAATACCTTCCAATCACGGGCAAGCCCCACAGGTGTTTTCCCATATGCAATGGAAAAGTTGAGCATCTTTGCTTTCCTTCTTTCAGAAGCAAAGGCATCCTAAAGCACAAAATACATAAAGATACTAAAACCAATTTTCCATGTTGAAACAGAAAGGTAATATCGCATGATCATATTTGATCTTAATTCCCTCTTAATCTCTACCGAAAGTCACAGTCAGTAATAGACCATACTAAATCATATCTTTGTTTATATAAGAGGAATAATGTAACAGTATCCCAACACATAGAAAACAACCCTCTCTCACTCACTCTAAATGACAAAACAAGAAAAGGGACAAAAGAGACCAAAATACTTCCTACTCCAGATTTATCTATTAATTTGCAGCATACTTGCTTATTTGGAACAAAGAAAATACACATAAGCCTAATCTAATCAACCATACCTATTTTACCAAATACCTCTCTCACCTGCTCTATCTATGCTCAAACTGACAGTAGGGCACACAGTAAAAATTTCATGAAAACATTTTAGGGTACTGTCCAATATTTCATCCACCAAATCATATTCTTTGGCATACCTCATAGCCAGCTCCATCAAATAAGGGAAAAAGGATAGGAAATAAAAACTAATGAATGAACTAAATTTAGTTTAACCCACTATTCCCACACAGCTGCTAGTTCTGAAAATTTAATCAGCGAACTTAAGGCAAATGCAGCAGTTTACCTTTAATAAAGGAACTGGAGGCTTATCCTCTCCAGGTTGAGGATGCCACTCAAGAAGCACGTGCTTTTGTTCAACAGCTTCACGAATGTGTGGATACATATTCATTGCAGTCCTTGAATGGAAGTCCCCACCAGCTTTAAAGGCATCCAACATACTCTTACAATTGGCAAGATGCGCAAGGATTCTAAGTTCCAGCTAATTATAGAAGTATGTGACAATATAAGTCACGGGAAATTTGCTTTTCACAACTATCAGATAGGACTTAGTACAAATTTAAAAAGACTGAAAAAGGCAAAAAAAAAAAAAAGAAACAGTATTAAATTAAGTTACCTGTCCATAGTCGGCAACAATAAGAGAATTCCCTGGTGCAGCAATAAATGCCTGACGGATTTTGTATCGATCTTTCTCTAAAGCAGGTTGGTTCTGATATACAGAAAAAACAAGAATGTTAACGCCTTCATAATATTTTGAACAATGACAAAGGACATTTTCCTTCTGTGCCCATGGTTTTAGCCATAAGAGAAGATGCAACCTAAGTAGGTTATTAGTAAAAGCTAATTACCACTTCAAAAATCAGTAGCACATGAACCTAAAATCGCCAATGATCTGTATAAATTTTCATAAACAGAAGCTAATAAATATTTCAGTACCAAAGCATGGAAGCCTAAAAACACAAGGATCTATTCTGGTTCAAAGGTCCAAAATTTAACCATATTTTCAGACATGTTACCAAACCTGCAAATTTGGCCTCCTCGCTGATAGGCGACCTGTTTCCGTATTGATATTCAAAGAACAATGAATACGCCCATCCTTGCCTGATATGCTACTATCCTGTGGATTGAAAACCAATGTCTCATGAATTTGGAATTTATATAGCATAAAAGGAGGACTAACTGAAATGACAGAACATCAGCAGACACACCCTAAGAGAGAGGAAGAATTGCCCGGCACAAAAGCACATTCATCACATGAGTGAGAAAAGAATATGTTTTATCATATACCCTTCCACAACTGAGCGATGCATGTACACAGTAAGCTGCCACCAAAATATGTCAAATCATTTAATTTTCAGGGAGAACAAGCTCAGTAGAGATATGCATGCAACACCCACAAAACTAAAAGCTCAAAACTTGGTGGGACTCAAGCTCCAATATCTATTGAACAAGTGACAATACTATAAAATCCATAATAGAACTGTAGACCTATTTATTAAGATATGTAATCAGATTGCTTCTCTGGATAATCTTCTATAAGGGAATACTCCAAACAAGTTATACCACTCATTTACAGTTTACATTTGAAACACTTCAATGAATTGATTATCTATTTGTTTCAGTAGTCTAATTATCTATTTAAAATACCTGTTAGCATTTATATCTACATGTTTTTGCAATTTACATTGCCATTTGGTAACAGAACTGTCGTTTCTGTACACATCTTAATTGACACATATCCAAGCAGACATGTAGAGGCAGATCCTATAAGACCCTAAGTTTCAAGCATCTTGTGCACAGGCACAAATTTGAAAAAGTATGTGCAACAATGTCCACATCCATCTCCCAATCATATTGAGAAAGGTTATCCAAATATAAGATCAAATCCACATCCCTAATAAGCAATTCAACTTTGATAACCACTAAATATGGCAGCCAAATAACCTGCAGAGGGAGAATGAAGTTGGATATCAGAGAGTCTATAGAGCAGACTTCACATAAAGCAGCAATGGCATGACACGCCTCCTTTCCCTCTCGTCCCCCTCCAAATGCAGCATATGCAGTTCCATAAGCAGATATCTCATCAACTCCTTCCTGTACCTCCAATAACTCTGTTCCTGGCAAATTTTCCTCACTGTCATCTGACTGAAACTGATGCTCTTCTTCTACAAAATCAAAATCTGCAGAAATCTTCCCTGCGAGGATCTTCAAAGCATCTCCACTAACAGAGGGCCAACCAGTGGCAGTGTACATCTCCATGGGTATCTTAGGGCCAAGAATATGCAGTTTAATATTGCGAAATTTAGAGGGAGCCTTCTTGCCTTCAATCACTTTCTCAGTGTTAGGAACTTTAAAATTCCTTCCTCTGGAAGGCACTTGTTTTGGTCCCTACTGCAAAAGGAAAATATGAAAATAAGTTAGTAGCAAGTCTTTCTTGAGAATCTTTTTGAAGTAATAACATTTTTACTTTCAAGTGCCTTTGTATTGCAGGTTAACAGTAAATCACTCATGGAAAGGCAAGTCAGTCTACAAGTTCCACTAAATACAAAGGACAGCACTCAGAATATTCATAATACAGGAGATAGGGCAAGATGTCTATTAGATGATACTGTACTTCTTACTATATATTTTCAGTAGTATTGGATTTTTAGTAGTAAAATTTTGTGGAATTGCTTCCCTATCTCAGCTCTCAAGCTAATGATAAGAAGTCTAGAATTACCCAACTATACATTTTTTCAGCACCCATATATACATCCATACAATAACAGACAGTTCTATGATCATATAATTGACTGAAGAAGTCTAGGCTCCAAAGCTAACATATAGGTTAAGACCCATGCCTGTTTATCATTCCGCCAAAGAAAAGCTGGCGCAACTGTGCATCACTTCCGACATTCATATACAAGGCATCTGGGCAATACTTTGATGCCCAACTGCGAAACCTATTGGTAGCAACCTGCTGCTCCAATCTAGCTACTTTCTCTATCTTAGCAAGATATGTTCGATCAACCAACATCCCTTCAGATTCCATATTCACAAGAAGCTCACCAAATGGCTGCCAGTACTTCTCATAAAAGTTGAACATTGATCCTTCTTTATGCCCATCAAGATTCCATTCCATCTTTGATAGTTTGCTTTTCAGGCTCTCATAAAGCTTTAACGTGCTTATAGAATCTAATGCAGAATAGCAAATCCATAATTTCCGCTCCTCTCTCTGAAGGTCTTCAACAGGTGGAATAGTGATAATTTTGCCCTCGGATCCATCTTTCTTCACCTTTCTCCTGCCAAATATGGTTTTCATTGATAGTTTACCAAACCAAATTTCATCAGCACACAACTTTGGATCACCTGTAAGTGCTTCAAGAGAATACCCACCCTCAGTCCGTCTTGAAGAATCCCATAACCGAGCCATATGCATTGTGTCAGCATGAAATCCAGAAAGTTTCAAACCATAGTTCTCTAAAACATGGTTATCAAAGCTATAGTTATGCCAAACCTACAAAAGTAATGGAGCTCCAAATCATATTTATGGTTTACTCAATAGTATAACTAACCTTATTCCTAAAGGCAAAACATTACTAAAATAACACTGGATGGCACAGTAATCTTTATCTAAGATAATGTACACTATTAAACCAATTTTCACATGTATTCATGTTCTATACAGCCAAAAGTGAAGATCACTATCGAAAGACCTACCTTTTTAATGGATCGGTCTTCAAAAAAAGGAGCAAATTCAGCCAAAATATTCTTTCCATCCCCAGAAAGAACATCTACCCAAATACAAGACTTCCCATGGCCAAAATCTAATTCTGGTCCAGAATATATACTGAAGCAGATTATTTCTCCATGGTCAACAGGCGTTTCCTGCTTCACATTAATCCTAGCCACCTGTACATAATCAGGCCACAGCCATGATAAGCTCCCAATGAACTTGCTGTATATTCATCAAAAACTAAAGAAAACATCTAATAGAACATTAAATAGAACACCTAACACCATTTGGCACGCAAAAGTGAATAAATCAAGGAACATATAAATATGTATGAGACATGCCTCTGTGTCACATGCATAAACACGATGCTTTTGTCCATTTATAAGTAATCCAACAACTTTTCTTGCCATGGATACATTGTCAACTACAAGAACCTTGTCATAAATGCAAGCAAGCCTCTCATGTAAACATAACTGCTCAGAAATGTGGTCATTGGAAGGGCTGGTGTCATTAAGCATTAGAATTTTCTCCTTCACTTCCTCTAGAGACCCCCTTGACAGTGAACCATTATATTTAGATTGATCATTGTTGCTTGACTGTTGTTTCAAGGCAGATTTGTTAGGAATATCAGCTAATGTAGAAGAAACTGAAGCAGGAGTTCTTTTAATCAAACCACTTGGATTTCCTTCTTGAACAAGATTAGATGAAATTGCATGACTACTACCAACCCGAACATAATGCCAATTATTTACATCAGTTCCAACATAGTTATTGTTGATATCATGAAAAGCTACTCTCCTTTTTGCCCTTACATTAGAAGCCTCTTCAATCCAAGGATTGGCAAGTCGAAAGTCTTTTTGAACTTGAACCATCCGAGGAACTAAAGTGGAAGGGTCCCTTGTATCCTCAACAAATTTAAGCTTCCAAGATCCTTCTTTGTGACAATAACTATAATTTCTACCAAATGTCATGAGTTGACATCTTGAACTTCGTCCAAGCAGAAGCATACTGCTAACACCATTCATGTAACAAGATGAAACCTCGGCATCATGAAGACTTGAATTACATTCCCTGCATTTTAAATCAAATGCAGCAGAAAGTTTAGTGTCACTTTATGCATTAATGCATGGGTTGGGTTGGAAGAGCATTTCTTTAGGATTCATTTAAACAACCAAAAAAAAAAAAAAAAAACCATATAAGTATCTCAACCATCAGGAACTGCAAATGGCATTCATGACTTTATGTTCTATAATCACTTTTACAAAATCCGCATACAAAGAAGCCTTATTCTGTTACAAGTGTTGGCCGCCAGTACTTGGTCATACTCATATAATTCTATGACCTAAAACAGATTTTTGTTGTCCCAAAAATTACCAAAAGTTCACCCCTGAGCCCTCTCAATGCAGTTCCTCAATCTATCTATGTGATCCTCAACTTAGTGAACTAACTTCAGTTTCTATAACTTTTGCTCATAATTTATATCTTTAATCATTTTGATATACAACAACAATTGGGTCGCATTTTGTGACTAGAACTTTACCACAAAGTTCAATTATGCACGAAAATTATCTATATCCACACACATACTCCTGCAAAAAATTATCTGGAAGCGTAATAAACTTTACAGGATAAAATTATCAATATTGAAATAAATAATGACAATAATATCACAAATAGTCCGTTTGATAACCACCAATGGAGAATATATAATTTCAAAAATAGTTGCCATGGCTTATGATTTCCTACAATATTGCGGTCCAACTGACATTCATTTTGAAAATTCTTTTCAGCCGGTTAAAGATATTCACCAATAAAACAATTTCATATTAGCCATTTCTCGTACATTTTAAATTTTATTGGATGTTCCAATAAGGCAGAGAAGCAAACACGTTAATCAAGGTCTTCCTCGTACCATAAGAACCACACCAATGAATAAATAATTAAGTTTTTTCTTTCTTCTGCTTCAATTTTAGTTGACGAAAACTTTTCCATTTGCTACAATTGCAGTCCTTAATTATTCGAGAATCTCGCTTTGTTATTAAAAAGCAAACCCAAAAATTGTTGAAAAACTTAAAGATGAGAATTGGGAAGTGAAATGGAAAACTGCTCACGGCAAATACAATGGCATAGACAACAGAAAATGAAGTATTAGAGAGATTGAAGGTGAAACCTTTGCAGGGATTTTGTGGAGGACGTCCATAAGGAGCGAGAAAAATGAGAAGCCCTGTGCGAAGAGCAAGAGCAACTGGAATAGTCGAAAATAGGGGGGAAGAAGGTTTAAAGGGGCTGGGTTGAGCGGAGAACCCCGTGGCCATGGCCTTGGCCTCTAGAGCCCTGCCCAGCTTAATTCCAGCGTTCTTGGCGCACGAAGCCGTTCTTGATAAACTTCAGGCGATCCGTAAGACTGTAAATAAAGGTTTTAACAGGGTTTATTCTCCTTTGTCTGAAACTGGCGGCTCCGAGTGGCAGGGAGCAGAGCACAGAGACGACCCATGTGCGGGTGAGAGAAGAGAGAAGGCTGAAAGTCTCCTGCAGGTTAAACACCTATCCTATGCTATGAGCTTCTGATGTTCTTGCGCAATTTTCTGGCTGTAAAACTTTTGTTTCTCTATTTCTTGAATATGCATATTTTCCCCGTTAATTGAGGCTGAGAATCTGCGAGAATAACAGAAATGCCATCTAGGGGAAAGGTCAGTTGTTACCCTAGTTTTAAAGAATGGCGAATGGCGGGAAGGTCGGGTCCCACTGTAGCTGCCGGATCTTAATTTTAATTCTTGTCTCCCTGTTTATTCAGGTATTATTTTTTTAAATTTTTTTTATAAATTTAAAAAAATTAATATGATTTATAAAATAAATAAAAAAAAAAAAATATTAAAAAAACTCTCTTTTAATAATTTATCTTATATTATATACTAACAACACACATTATGCTTTTTGGTATTATTTTTTAAAAAAATAATAATTTTAAAAAAATTATCATGATTTATAAAATAAATAAAAAATATTGTAAAAAAACTCCTTTTTAATAATTTGTCTTATATTATATATTAAAATCATATCTTATACTTTATAATAATAATAAGAAAAAGAATATTATGTTAAATTGAAAATAATAAAAAAGACAAGAAAGAAATAAAATAAAATGCAAAGACATTTAATTATGAGAGATGAGACATAATAAAATTTTATTATTTAAATATATTTTTTAATAATATAAATTATATAATATGTTTTATAATTATAGTACTAATTACATATCACAATACTTATTTTTATTCTAAAATATTTGAAACTATTCTTATTTATGTTTTACACCATATATACTCGATTTAAATTGAGTAAATTGTCTGATTATTCGTCAAATATGGATAGAATTAACATGGTTAGGAATATTTTTTTTGACCATTTTTTGAGTGAAAGTAAATTCAAAATTTGATTTTTAAATTAAATGATTTAGGAAGAATCTATTATTTTAAAATATAGATTGATGTCCACTCGGTTACAAAACTTACACCAATAAAGTTGGGAAAAAGGGAAAAAAAAAGCTTCATTAGAAGTAGCTATATTGCAAATAACCCAAAAAAAACTGCACAATACTCTTCCAACTCCCTCCTTCCCAAATTCAAACTACAAGTCAGTCTGATTTCCCCAACCCAGGGAAGAAAACAGAAGGAAGATTAATAAGCGACTTAAAGAAAAGCAGAAGCCCAACTTATAGCCTTATAGATAAAAGTTCTTCCCTGGTCACCTCCTTAGTGTCTTTTCTCAGGCACGATCTGCTTGGGCATCCTGTTGGACGTCAACTTTCTTAGAAAGTGTCTTCATAATCTTCTCCTCTACTCCATCCTCATCCTCGGGTCGCTTTCCTGTACACAAGAACTCGAGAGCAGCCACTACGTCGCTCATCAACGGCCGAACAGAGGCTTCCTCCTGGAGGCACATGGCCGCGATTGCAAGGGCCTGGTGGAGAGACTTCAAGGGGTAGTTGTCGCCTAGCAATGGATCCGCTATTAATGGGAACTTCTTCTTGTCCTTCAACAGAGGTTGTGCCTGCAAATATAGTATGGGTTTGGCCAACTAGACTGCAATATTTAACTTCAAGTTTGTACCCTAACTTTTTTAAGTTATACCTTCAGTTATTAATCTTAGGTAACACAGAAGTCAAGGTACTGTAGTTTCTAAGCTTCAAGGATCATGACTTCTAGGCTAAAAAGGTTGAATGTATATGCCTGAAATTAAGGATCAAACAGGGACTAAAAAGAATTGTTTTCAATGGGTCTTTTAAAGACTAGTAGTTTGCACGATTTAAGTTCTTTTACATTAAATAAATTAATTGCCAACAAACTTGATAGTTAATTCTTTATAGCTTAGAAAGCCCACAAAAACATGCGACTTTTTGAGAAAGCAAGTAGCAAGAACTTTCGGCAATTGGCTTTTCTAAAAGATGAAATGTAAAAGACACAAGTTGATTCCTTGTGACTCCAAAAAAACTGCTAAAAAGGCCATAGCTTGTTTTTTTATGCCAAATAGTAATTCATGACGTTTACATTTCAGAGAGAAATCTTATATATGCTAATCCAAGACATGATTATTCAGAGGTTGCTAGGTTTTGAACGTACCCAAACAACTAAGTTCTGTTCTTCGCTCGGTCTAGAGTTATTGATGACTCTCCTTCCTGAGATTATCTCCAAAAGCACCACCCCAAAGCTATACACGTCTGACTTTGTAGTTAACTTGCCTGTCAATGCGTACTCAGGTGCACAATAGCCATAAGTACCCATCACTCTTGTGCACACGTGGTCCATGTCACCAGTTGGACCAACTTTGGCTAGCCCAAAATCGGAGAGCTTTGCATGGAAATCTTTATCTAAAAGAATGTTAGATGCTTTTAAATCCCGGTAAATCACCGGAGGGTCTGTTGTTTCATGCAAGTACTCGAGGCCTCTCGCCGCATCCTGAGCAATTTTCATCCTGGTGAGCCAGTCCAGAGGTTTCTTTCCTGGATCTAAATCTGAACAAGGCAAAACTTCTCTGATCAGTTATAAAGAAACCATTTTTTTATTAGCAATTAAAATGACAGGATGCCAAACGGGAAGTTCTTTTAGTCAACTTTTAAGTTGGACTATCTGCTTCGGGAGCTTTTTGAATACATATTTTTAGGATGAATACATTTAACGAGGCAAAATGATGATAAGATGCAAAAGATGACTAGGTACCTGTAACGAGTTTCTTGGTATCTGAAAGATTTCAGCTTTGTCAGCTTTATTATTAGTTTGGAAGAATTGGCTTGTGGACTTTTTGAGGTACTTATTCAAAGTAAAAACACTACAACCAAAAGCCCAAAAAACTAGTCTTATTTGTATATAGAAAAGTCAACCAAGAAAGCTCCTCTGAAAAAAAGAACCAAATTTCGGATAACTTGAGCTGCTTTAATTCCTAATTCCATGTTTGGTTTATTTTCGATTTGCGTATCTGAACTGTGTTAGACCATACCGAGAAGGTGATCCTCTAGAGATCCATTAGGCATGTACTCATAGACTAATATCCTCTGATCACCATCCGAACAATATCCAAGCAGATTCACAAGGTTGGGGTGGTGAAGAAGACTCAACATAACCACCTCCACTAGGAATTCTTTGTTGCCTTGGAGCCCATTCCTGTCTAGTTGCTTAACAGCAACATCCTGCAAAGCATGCAAAAAGGGTAGAAAAAAAGAACATGTATTTTTCAAACCAACTTTCATTCTATAACTCTAAGGGGATATTTGGTTTCTTACAAAAAACTGCTGCAGCATTTTGAAATTTTTTCCCATGGCTTTTCTTTCTGTTCCCCCCCCCCCCCCCCCCCCCCCGAACAAAAGAAAAAAAAGGGCAGCAGGTTAACATTTTAGCATTTGGCTCCTTAGAAACAACAGATTTTTTTGATACAAAGGCCCCCAAGGTGAGGAGAGGGAGAGAGAAAGTACTTGATTTAAGCTTTTAAAGTGCCCACTGTAAACGCATCCAAAACCCCCCTCACCAATCAAGTTATCAGGGTTAAAGTTCTGAGTTGCATCAGAAAGATCGTGGAATGAAAAAGCTTGAGCAGGAACTGCTGCTTTTCCAACCTTTGCTACCTCTTCTGCGATGAACCTCTTCTTGGCACTATCTGCACAGATCAAATGCGTTCAAATCTCAAATCAGAAACTGAGGTTCTATTCGAGAGAAAATTTTCTTCAATTATTTTATAACAAAACAGGATATTGGTTCCACAACCCAAAGATGAAAATCGTGCACAATAAGATACCAATACCGAATTCAATATAATCATATAGGAAACAATACTCTGAAGCATAGAAATCCTAGAAACATATGATCAGTCTATCACCTATGATGGAAACTTTGAGAACGAATGCATTCATCATTTTGTCCAAGAAAATTGAGTGCCATAATTAAGGTTGGAAGCATGCATGATCAAAATCCTAAAGTTTGAATTATGCAATCATCCAAAAGAAGAAAAAAGGGGAAAATTTTCTACACCAATGACAGAAAGGTTAAACAAGATACAGTATTTTTAGAACAAAAAGATTTACCGGACTTAAAGGAGAGAATGTGTGCGTGACCACTAGCTGAAGTTCTCCTGTTCTTCTTCTCTTCATTTTCGGTTGTCTTTGATGATCTATCAGTGGTTTCCTGTCTTGGAAGGCAACAAGAGAAGCAGCTCAACATTGTTGCCCTCCACCCTTTAAATCTAAAGGTGCTACAAAAATTCCAGGAATATTTGAATGTTGAATCAAATGCCCTGGTTCATACAGTCCATAAGCATTTGATTCAATCCAATCCAGAGCCTGAACAAGAGCTAGCATGTGATTCAGAACAGTTCCATCACTTTTTTTTTCTTTCTTTCTAAGGGAGTTGGAGATCTAAATTAGCCAAGAAAACCCGCCTGCTCGGGTTTTCCTGGAAATTAAGGAAAAATTCCGTGTTCCTTAATTCCTTCTCTCCCTGATCTTAGACGGTCAAAATTGTTAATCTTATCAAAAGATGAAACACCAGAAACTCAGGTTTTTGTTCAACCACCTCTCCCTCTATCTCTGTCTATTTTTAGCAAACCAAATCTAGTGCTTATTAACTAATTAGGCTACAAACACGGATTCATAAGGCCATATAAGTAATAGCAATTTGAGGTTCATACTATTTCAGCAATCTGATTGTCGAAGTAAATTTGGTCTTCCACAGTTCTAAGGAAGATGGCTCCTGGTACCACTTACTCCTAGAATTAGCGACAAAAGCATTGTTAATTTTATTTAGTAGATAATGATTCAGAGCTTTTCAAAACTAGTCTCAATTTCCTCTTTCCATAATATATATATATATATATATATATGTATATGCATATAGACTACTCCTGTTTCCTAAAAATGCTCAGCGTATCCCCCTTTTCAGCCAAACCACACAACTGAGATGAATTTTAAATAATTGTAAAAAAATAAAAATAAAAACTAATCTTCTTGAGGTAGGCTTATATAGTTGAATTATGATATCCCATCTGATAATAACGAAAAGAATAAAATAAAAGACACAATCTTTAAGTTACTTGACATTTCCTATTGCGGGGTCAGATAGAAATAACCTGTTCAGCTCTAGCTCCAGATTTTTGAGTAAAGAAAGTCCAAAAATAGCATTAATACATTCAGGATCCCGTGCAAATTTTGAATTAAATCAACATAACGAACAAAAAATTGCCATGGAAATTGATAATAACAGATGACTTTCCAACCAAAAAAATGTAACCAGTTATTTACGTTGCGGCAGCAATTCCATCGTAAAATATAGACCTAACAACTCCGTCACCCAAATCCATCAAATACTCCATGCAAAACATGTACTTAAGAATGATGCAAAGAAATTCAAACAGAGATCTGCTCTTTTCATCACGCATCAATCCGAGATTAGGCCCAAAATTTTCTCCCGTTTCTGAACCCTCCTAGGTATTCCTCTGCTTTCTGTAATCCACTTGTCAGTCTGTGTATTTATCAATATCTATGGGATCTTCACCTATACCTGTAGCTGATCCACTGCCTTTTTTGCCCTTCAACATCTCCACATTCAGTTTATTAGTATCAGCTGGTTGAATTCCAGAATACCGATCCTCTATTTTCACTTCTCTTATAATACCATTAAGCCCTTTGGTAGATTTAGCAGCACCATTAAGAGGCTTCCTTGGTCACTTGGTCTTGTATCCCTTCAGGTGAGTTATGCAGCTTCTTTTTCCTGCAATGTCGTTGATACTTAGAAAACACCACATTCTGATATTAATCCCAAGGAGCTTTAAAACAGGACGCTATTGGGTCTTGTCATGGTCATCACTTGAATTAGAAGGAACTATCTCCTCCTGGATGACAGGTGTCACCGGCTCATTATTCTGTTTGGTGTTCGCCTTTATTGAAGCTTGACATAATTCCTCATGAAGCTGTGAAACCCTTGGTGCAACAGAGATCTTGCAAGTTCCTAAACTCTTTTTTTTCCTTCTGAACTGATTGTGGGTATTTGGATCTTGAAGCTTCCTTAGCTGAAGATGGCATTTTAGACTTAATTCCAGGATAGCTTGATGGGAAATCCTCGTCCTCATCATCATGAAGAGCAACCTAAAATTGGCTTCCTTCAATGCAACTACCTAAGCTCTTCAAAGCCTCTAAACCTGGCGCGGGTTTAACTGGACTTCCCAAAGAAACTGACCCATGAACATCTTCATCTTTAGAAATCTTGGGATATCTTGCCTGGTGCAAACCTTCTTTGATTAGGCCTTCACAAGCAAGCACCGTCTCCTTCCACCATCTGGGATACGTATTCGAAACACCGCTCTGAAAAAACCTAGGTGAAAGACAAAAGCTCAACCTTCCATTTAAATTGAAATCAGAAGAATTAGATAGAAGACGTTGCTTTTTCCTTCAATAGCCCCTAGTCTTTTCCTTCAATAGCGTCAACTCAAGTCATTGTAATAGTTCGCGAGGACGGCAGGAGCTAGCGCCAACCGCGTCCCACGAGCGAGCCAGGTGGGGACCGGAAAAGGCACTACGTATCAACCACAGCGAGTGAAACACTATCCGCTCGAACACATTATCTCCCTCCTCCATGAATAGTTTCATCTAAAAAGCTCGGCAACGCTTTCTTTCCCCAGCCTCTCGACATCTCCAGTCGCAGCCAATCCATCTCATGCTTGACTCGGGCAGATTCCAGGATCGGAGCACTCGTACTTGATCTCCTACCGCTGGAGGACAACCGAGGACAATCATGCCTTCGAGGTTTATAGTCATTTCGTCCCACCTGGACAAACGAATTGTTTTTACAACACCAGAACTCTCACAACCCAAGTACCAACTCATGGTTACAGCAAACCTCGTCCATGAAGCCGACGATGGGGTCGCAGATACCGGTTTGTTTGATTCCGTCAGGGACCAAATATCGTGTTCTTTGCTTCGTGGAACCGAGTTCTCCGACCGTCGGGATTTTTTCCTGCATTTTGTCTTCAACCTCTGCAGAAGAAGGGCGGAGATAGGGGGACGGTGTCCTGGCGCTTGGGATTCGACAGGACCACGCGGTTTGAAATTCATAAATTGACGCTAAGCCATCTATTCCATGGATCGAAGCATTGGAAATCTCAAACGTACAGCATCGGTGAAGGCATGGCTCTTTAACAATTTTTTTTTTTTTTGGTGGTCATTTGGGTTTTCAAGTATCTCGGAAGGAAGAGAGGAGTAAAAGTTACTCTGCTCTTGTTCTGAGAAGAAGACAATGAAACAACTAGTACATAGAAAACATGCCCACATGGATGAACTCACTCCGATTCTCCCTTCGAAACTTTAGAACTTTCCTTGCTGCATTCAATATTAAAACTATAAATTTTTGGAAAGAAACAAATAGAAAAAGACTTCACCGAACTACCAAAACCGTCTATCATTCCATCTATATTGTGTCTTCACAAGGAAGAAATTACATGGCCAAATTTACATGTCATTACAGATTCTTTGCTTGACGGTGCATGCTCAAGTAATCAACGTACCTTTCCACAGTCTACACTCTAAAAAAAAGAGAAGAAGAAGAAAATTGCGCACCATGGAAGTGACTCGAATGTTGCATTCAACCCTCAGAAATTCACAGCACGAGTAAACAGGAAAGCCAGTCATCCAAGTCATGGAATTCTGTCGGATTGAGTGAGGACAAGGATCTCTCCCTGCTTCAGTAGAGAGACTTAAACAAATTATTTGCAGACTTCCGGCTCCACATTTTTAAGAAGTCTTGTAGTGTTCAATCTGTCAATCCAACCTCTCTTCCATATCTGATGTCTCAACTCTTTATCAACATCCAACATTAAAGCACATCCACCAGTTAGAACACCTGGAAAATAAAAGCTCTCAAAATATGTTTGTCAAGAGCATCAACCAATGGGATAGAGCAATAAACCTCTTCCCAAACAATGAAAACTCCAGAGCTAAATGGCGCAAAGTAAGACATTCGGATCACATAACCTACGTATGGTTGGATTAATGGTGGTGACAAAATATTTGCTGGAAAGATAAAAGAGAACTTTTTAGGCATTCGAGTTCACAAACCCATATGTTAAAACATCATGTGATGATGTGCCTAATATGTTCTTCAAACCTGATCTCCATTCTGCAACCCATGAGACAAAAGGTGTTTATAGCTTTACCATCGGAAATATTTTAAAATTTTCTCCTGACTTTCAAAGCTAGTAGCAACCATCAACATGGCAAGGAAAAAGATAAGATGCAACAAGCCATGGCCAGTTGATCACACAGGTAAATCCAAAATTCTTTTTCAATGAAAACAACATATAAAGATGCATATATTTGAACCATTAACACGTCTTTTAATGTTACACGTGGAAAGCTAAACGCTTCTAATCTTTGGATGCATTTAAGTTAAAATCAGGTCATATTGTAAACGCAGCCTATATTTGTCAGGAAAGATAAACGCTTCTAATCTTTGGATGCATTTAAGTTAAAATCAGGTCATATTGCAAACGCAGCCTATATTTGTCAGGCACAGTCAGAACATGAAGATGTTACATAAACAATGTGGCATTTATGTAATCACACAACATCGATTACTGCCATGTTTGTGTGTGTGTGTGTGTGTAGAGAGAGAGAGAGAGAGAAAGAGAGAGAGAGAGAGAGAGAGAGTAGAAGAGACAAAACTTTCACTGAGAAGTAAAATATATATATGACACTATAAGAAAGAACTTACATATACAAATCCTTGCAGCACAGTAACTTGCTCAACATGCATGTATAGAGTACAGTAATCTTATCAAAAGACTTCATCCCTCAGAATATATGGTCATCAAATGATGATCAGTCCACTACTTTCAATACGAAGATCATTCTTCACAGGGATGTAGAATAAAGTTCGCAAAACTGAACAAAGAAGTATAATAAAGATAAAACAAAGACATGAATTAAGCTTGGCTTCCAAAATGGAACTGATTAGGGAAAAAAGTGATATTAAAAAATAAAAAAAAAAAGATCAAATAATATACTAAAACAATAAAGCATGACTGCGAGATAACTCATGGTTAGATAACCATGTATTCCTTCCAATTGCCTAAACTTCAAGCACCAAAAAACTCAAGCAGCAATTGTTTAGAAGATTAAATTGATGTCAATATCCCTCAGAATTGTTGCTCATCAAAGGTGATCAGGCCACTACTTTGAATTTTTCAAATCATTCTTCACAGGGACGCAAATCAGACAGCTAATAAAGTACATCAATTTAAACTTACACCACCAAATTCACTCACTTATTGAGCATCTTGACAGTTGGTCTAACTGCCTAGTTACTGTGACCGTTGCACTCAAATCTCTTGCAAAGACATCAATCCATTGATGGTTAACTGGACAATTCAACAACACATAGCAAGACCAGCATCTCTATACTCTCTTAGCTTCCAGCTAGGCTCTGTGTTGACTCAAATTCAAAGTAATAAATAATTAAAGTAACCTCTCCAGCGAAATTGAGATAAATTACCTGTTGAGTAACAGTCAAGAAGCAAAAACCAGAGGAGGATTTGTAATAATCGTAAAATATTAACTGTAGACGTTTCCAACTATATTATTACAGCAACAACATTTTCTTTTAATCCAGACTGCAACACTTCATTCCCCAAAAATGAGGATAAATCCACCACCTTCATGGTGTTGGACGTGCATTCCGTTGGGGAATTTCAACTCTTCCATTCCATGGGTAACAAGCAAAGGGGGATTCGAGAAACAGATCAGCAAATAATCATTCTACAGGTCCATGAACAATTACATTGTTCGTTAAGAGTCCAAATAAAATAAATCAACACTGACAGTCCAAACGCAGCAACTAACAGCTACTGAACAGATATTCGGATAACTGAAAAATTGAACTCAAATTTGTAGAATGCTCCGGTTGGACTAATAATGAATTTACCTTTAGAGAAATGGTAAAACAGGTGAGAAGTAATTGCAAGTGTTGGTATCTTAGGGCAACCGGCCTGTAAAGCTGAAATCGAAAAAGAAAATAAAATAAGAAGAGTCGATTCAAATAGGTATTAACTGAAAAACTAGTAGTGTTCGCGCATTTTTCCTCTCTTCTAACATCCCTGACCAACCACTCGAAGCCACCTTTATTTCACATACGCAACGGCGGAACCCTTGGAGGTGACGATGACCGCTTATATAGGAGCAACTAATGGACAATGGAGCGTGGAGGGCTGTTTGGTTGGGAGCAAAATCGTACTCTTCTGGCGGAACCCTAAGGCCATGTTCCTGACATGGTATAACGAGGGACAGGAAAGTTTTTCTCCCTTATCCCGTGTTTCCATGTTCGATAGGGTTTCGTCGATGACATTTTGAGTGTTGTTAATTGGTTTTCAGGACAGGATATCCTATCCCAAGATTAGTTGTCTAGGTCCTTTGACAAATCGGGATATGGCATTTTCAGGATGAAAACAGGATAGGTTGAAAATGAGCCTCGCAGGAACTGTTTGGTTAGGTGTTTTTGTCGGTGGTTTCGTATATTTTATTAGGCGTTATTCGGTGGATTGAATAAGGTTTAATAAAAATAAATTATTTATTTTTATTTAATATTCAGTAAATTAAATAATAAAATTAGATAAAAAATTTAAGTAAAATAATTATTTACTTAAATTTAAATAAATTATATTAGAAATATAAGATAATTTTATCAAATTTTTATCACTCTTTTCTGGATAATATTACCTCTAATATACACGTATCAATTTACTAAAATATATCCTTTTTCTGCTGGGCACAATTATACAGTGTCAGCTACCGTGTGCCAGCACTCACTACTAACTACTATTTGATATTATCAATAATAAAATGATATTTGGATAATTTATATTTATTTATTTAGTAATATTAGATTTAAATTAAAAATTATCAAATTAGTTATGATAATTCAAGATACTACAAGATTAAAATATTATATTTAAACACTATTTTATTTTACTTTATTCAATCTAATGAATTAAACCACCTCTTCTTATATGTTAGCAAGCATAATCAAATTTTTAGTCCAAAAAATCGTGCATTGTTTAGAATTTACAACTAGAATAAATATAAATTTTATTTGAAAAGTTAAAAATTCGGTTGTTAACATTATTTCCCTTTCTATCTTAATATACCAAAACAATTTTAAAAAATAATGCACAGCGTAAATGTCACACGAATTTAGTTAAATTACATTGAGGTCCCTAAGCTTTTCTCAACCTTTCAATTTGGTCCCTTCCTTTCATTTGCTTACATGTTAACCCTTGATTTAATAAATTGGTTTATTTAAGAAAAGTATTGATTTCCTCGAACATTCATGAAGCAATGTTGCAGTTCAAATACTTCACCGAGAAAGTTCGCGAAATGATCTTGTAGTCCAAATGCTTCACCAACTCGACGTCGTCGTTTACAAGCGGCGACAAAATATACCCAATTACTCATTAGTTGCTATTCAAAATTCAGGAGAAAATAAAAAAATTTATCAGTATATTTTCAACTTTAATTATAGAGATTAAATCTCCAGTCGTTTAGCATTTTGGATAAATATAAATTTTACTGATGAATATTTAGCAGCACTTTTTACATAGTTGAACATTATGCTATTATATTTAAATAATATTTTTGAAGGATTAAAAAATATGTCTGACTGTTATAATATTATATTTTTAATTAATTTATATTTTCTATTTTATTATGTGAATATGAAAAGAACATTTTGAAATGGCTAAGAAAGGAGCCATGTGTTTTTCTCCCTCTAAACATGTTTTTTAGAACGTCATTTAATTTCACAATAAATTTTATTTTACTGCTGCTTAGTTTTAATTCCTAATATATATAAAAAAATGATCAATCTTACACCAATATAAATATAACACTTCTATTAAATCATACATCATTAATATTATCAAATTTGGTGAATGAGATTAATTATAATCGTTTTTTATTATATAATTTACAGCTATATTTCTTTCTAAAATCTTAATTAGTCTCATCTATTAATTTTATTTAAATTAATTATGTAAGATTTGATATAATTATTTTTACACTGACACTGGTATTAATTAGTCCCATTCTCAATATATATATATATATATGTATATTAAAAAAATAGTGTAAAAAACTTATTTGGTAGCTTTCTTTTCTTCTTTGTTTTCAAAATATATAGCAATAATGTTTAGTAATTATTATTTTTGATGTGTTATTAGAGTAAGAATGATTTATTATATTAAAAATAAATAAAATAGTATTGGCCTATTAAATTAGATTTCAAAAATTCAATCGGAGACTAATTCAACAGAAGGGGATCGGAAGATTTCTCCGTAAGGGGACAAGCCGGAGCGAACTAATACTAAAATCTTTAAAATAATTATTGAAGGTGATTGAATTACAAATGATAACTTTCTGCGTACTCTAATTTTTATTTTGATAATTTAATATTATCTAGTGCATGGTTTTCCCTTGTTACCTACGTCTAAACATTGTTTAAAAAATTGGGCTAATAAAATTTAGAGCATTGAGAAATTATTAAAAAATAATTACCAAAAATAACTAATTCAATTGCCCCTTAATCTCCAATGTTTAATGAAGAACATCTATGTAAAATTAAAATTATAAACGTGATAATAACAAAAGGTAACTGTAAAAAAAGATTTTTAGTAAAAAAAACCTAAATTACAAATAGGAGTCATATAAATAAAAAATAATATTTGGTATTTTTTATTATTTTTTGATTGTTATGTTTGTAATTTTTGTCTTTAACATGTCCTTTTACAATTTTTCAAAACAAAAAATACCGTAACAATTTGCGTTGCAAGAGACAAGTTTTTTTTTTTTTCATTTTTTCCAAATAAAAAATCGAGTGACCTGCCATTTATGCGCTGCTTTCATCTGATAGGTCCACGTCGCAGATTTGCCACGTGGCGAGCAGTGAAGGGAGCCAGTGACATGGCCAGCTCAAAGAAAAGTCCAAACCTTTGACGCTCATTTTTCAATATTTGGCGGGTTGGCTTTTCTTGATTCTGGTTCTCGTTTTGCACACGCTCTCAAAGAACGCAACCGTTGCTGAAAGGCGCGCGAGGACGAGCCTGCAGCGTTCGAATCAAGCAAGGATGATTCGGTGGATGAGGCAGCTGCGGATCGCCTTCGGCACTTCGTTTCTCTGGCTCATCTGCTTGATTTACTTCACACAGGTTTTGAATCTCCTCTCTCTATCCTGATCTCATTTTTAATTTTATATTCAAATTGGCGATTTCTCTGTTTGAGAAATTTGAATTGTGCTAATGTCATTTCTAGAATTTATTGTAAGTCCACTGAGGCTATGTTTAATTGGAAGGATAGAAGAGAAATTCATCACCTAGGGAAGGGATTCAGTTTCTTTCAATCGTGTTTGGTTGGATTAGTGAAGCAAAGAAACTAAAGATGATCGCTCATCTATGTTTGTTTTGGGAGATGGATGAAAGATATGGAGAATGCAAGTGCATAAAAAAAAAAAAAAAAAAAAAAAACTCTACTCCTATGTTATTTTATTGAATTATTTTTCCTTTCAAATTTTCATTAAATTGAACCATCAATAAATATGTAAAATTCAAACTTCCGCTGATCAACTGTTCCAATCCTTTGAACAAAAAGTGAAACAAAATTTAATTAATCTTGTGTATTATTCATATTTCTTTAATTATCGAACTCAAATATAAACTAAATTTTTGTTATATATATATGAATCGAGGCTTGGTCATTCACACTGCCTGACACTTTCCAACCCAAGCATCCGTCCAATTTTGGGCGGAAAGAACTTTGTGAAGGAGAGAGAATGCAATCAGTCCTGCATTCCTTTCCCCCATGATAATCCCTACCTAACAAGAGAAGTTGGCCTAATCGACCCCCTTTCCTTCCCTCCACTTTTTCTTCCAACCAAACACACTCTTAGAGCGTTTCCATTACATATCTCGGTTAATGGATATCCACACTAAAAGACAAGGAGTTATGAGTCTTTGGTCTAGGAGGTTATTATGCGTGATGCTTTAAAAATAACCTCACAAAATTCAAACCATTTAAATCTTCTATGCTACTGCTCCTAGGCCCTGCAATTGTCCTACTTGATTAGGTTCAGGATCTATCTAATAGACTTGCAAATGTTGAAGATTGTTGCTATCCTCCTGCCATATTACCAAGATTTCACCTCTGTAATTTTGTTGTGAGCCACTTTTTTTGTGGTCCAATCCAGAACATTTCATGTGATATTCAGTAAATTATGTTGGGTATAGTTCACAGCATTTTGTTTCTTAGTTGGTTTTATACTCTTTTGTCCAAATTATTTTCTGTTGCCGATTTTTCTCTTTGCATATTTGGGAATAGGGTTTCAGGTCTTTTGTGTGGACAGCAGTTTCCTACCTGCTGAAAGACAGGCTTAAGTTGTCACCCTCAGCATCTCAATTCGTGTCTTCAGTAGCATTTTTCCCATGGAGCATAAAGCCATTATATGGGTATGTATCTGATTTGCACTCTTTGGAATTTTGTACACCCATCATTGTTAGTTTCGAAAGTCAAAGAGGGACTTCAAGGCAATACCTAATTGATTTGTTACATGTTCTTCATTATGAACCATTGCAAATACAAACAAGTTGAATATATGTACTAATTCTTAGTAGTATATATCAAATTTGTAACTTCAGTTATTTTATCACTTGCATGTATGTAGCCATGTGTCTGCACACATGATATGTGGTGGCTTTTGGATGATGGCATTTTACAACACATTTCGAATAGTGAACACAATCTTTGACTCAACATAAACATGAGTGAATTTTTGAAATTGCAATACCGTCAACATGACTCTACTGTTCTATGGGTCAAGTGGATGTTATTTCCTGACAAGTGGCTGGTACATGTGCATGACATGTTATAATCAAGTGTTTATTGTAGAATTTCATAAATTGAAGATGCATAATTAAGACACTGGCGCACAAATATTTTTTTTAATTATGTGGAGCCTTTTTGGCTACCAATTGGGATGTGGATGGTGACATGGTGGATTGCATGGAAAATGATGCAGTGCCTTTTCAGTTATTGCTGCTTTAAGGTTTCTGAAAATTTTGTTCTTTTGATTTTTGTAGTAACAAGTTCTTTTTGTGTCGTTTTCATCCCCTGGCTCACAGTCAAAGTTTCTCCAAAAGAAGTTTAGGGATTTTATTGTTCAAATAAGTGAGTTAAGTCTTTAAAGCCAGTTCCTGCGCTTTATCATTTGGTATTTAGAGTTACTTTACGTTTTCTATTGTCCATTATGGAATTGTTTTTGTGTATATTATTTTTAATGAACTTCTAGCATGTACACTATATGCAGTATCTTGTCTGATTGTGTCCCAATCAAAGGAAGAAGGAGGATACCATATCTGATGATAGCAACAGTCCTCTCTCTCTTTCCATGGCTCATTTTGGGTCAAGATTCATGCATAAGAAGCTCCAGGGTGCCCCTCATGGTATTTTTAACCGTGCAAAACCTAGGGTCTGCCATGGCTGATGTTGTGGTGGATGCTATGATTGCTGAAGCAGTAAGATTTGAACGGTATGTTAATTGAGCTAAATCTAACTCATAAATATGTGCAAGTGTTGTCTAAGTTATATTAGGCAGAATGCTGAATGAAGCTTATTAACTGTCAGATACAGTTGGTATTATAATCTGTTACATGAGCTGATAAATTTAGCTGTTCTTGGCGTCTGTCTTCACATCTGGTTAGGTAGACAAGTACAATTGTAGACATATCTTAGCCAGTGGGTACAAACCTTATGTTTCTTGGTTTTGGAAGCTAAACATGGCTGATGCAACATTGGCATGGGCTAGTGTACATAAGATGCAGCCATTATACAATCATGTAATGTAAAATGTTTGAATTTATTTTTACTATTTAATTAAATAAAAATGAAGTGAAAGCTTTTATTTAGTTCTTTGCAGCTAGTTTGAATTAGTGAGGTTGAAGTATTGTATCTGGTGTGAAATGAAGAGTACTAAACAAACCTGACCTTTGTAATATGTATCAGATTCCACTCACCTCATCTTGAAAATCATTATCATTTGTCATTTCTACTCAACCTTTTTATATCTGTGGTCTGCTTGTACTAAACTGGGCATTCTGTGAATTGAATAGATGTTTGTACTTTGGTGTATGCCACGTCACAGTTGCACTCTGGCATGCTGGGCCTTATGCTGAATCCACTCTGTTCTTCTTATGTTTAAATGTAATATTATTTGACATTTCAAATATCCATGATCAGGGCCTCATTTGCTGGTGATCTCCAGTCAATTTCCTGGATGACAATGGCTTTGGGAGGGATCTTTGGGAGTTTACTTGGAGGATATGCATTGGCTAACTTAAAGATAGAAAACATTTTTCTTCTGTTTGCTGTTTTACCATCTGTACAGTTACTTTCATGCATTTTGGTCAAAGAGAATGTTGTAGGCAGTAGGGATTTGCACGAGTATCCTACTTCAAATGATTCCGATGGCGCAAATGGAAACATCACTGATCTAGATTCAGACAGCTACTCAGATAAGAAGTCCAAAACTAGCACTTCTAGGAGAAAGAAGAATAAAAAAGGCAGACAAAAAAGATCAAACGTCAGTGAGAAATTTCAGAATCAAGAAAAACATGGCTCATTGGTTTCTCAGTGGTTTGGTTCTCTGAAAATGGCTACTTATAGTCTTGCACGTGCATTCAGACAACCTATTATCATCAGGTAACTGGTGATAAATCTCTACCCCTCTGCTGGTTAAATTTTATGTCAAATGAGAGTTATTGGTTAACTTGAATTTCTTTTTCTTCTCTCTGAATTTGTGTTTTCTTATTTTCTAATCCTATAAGTTTTCCTTGAATTGACTTCTGTGGCAACCAGACCAATGACTTGGTTTTTCCTGGCACTTGTGACTATTCCAAACCTCTCAACAATCATGTTCTATTACCAGACAGAGTTCTTAAACTTGGAGTCATCCTTTTTGGGTACTGTACGTGTTGTTGGATGGTTAGGCCTCATGCTTGGAACCTATATTTATAATTGCTACCTAAAAAGAATGAAGCTAAGGACAATTCTCTTGTAAGAACTTAGTTCAATGCATTAGTACATTTTCGCCTCTTACTCTTTTAAGTTGTTTGCTGATTGAGTTCTATTTTCCCTGAAAATGATGCAGATGGACCCATGTTGCCTTGTCTTTAGTGAGTCTTCTGGATATGATTTTAGTGTCTCGAGCAAATGTTGCATTTGGCATACCAGACAAGGTTATGGTGTTATTTGGACCTGCACTTGGGGATGCAATCAATCAATTCAAGTACGTGCTTGTGTGCATTTGTTGTTTGGTTGACGAATGAAGTTGGACTTTTCTGGAGGGCTTTTCTAAAATTTATAAAGAATTAACTTTAAGCTTTTTGCATTTGATTCTCGTAAGGTTTAAGCTCTATTTATCAAAAGCCCCTATAGAAAATTCTAAAAAGTCCACCTTTTTGCTGAACCACTTACCAACAATAGAGTGCTGATTGACATTTATAATCTGGAGAACAATTTTCATCTTATGTGCAGGTTTATGCCATTTATGATTTTATCAGGACAGCTTTGCCCTCCTGGGATTGAAGGCACGCTATTTGCCCTCTTCATGTCGATAAACAATTTTGGGTCCACGTTGGGATCATTTGTAGGGGCTGGATTGGCCTCGGCCCTAAACATCTCTTCAGGTTCTTTTGACAACCTTTTTCTGGGTATAGGTATTCAAGTCATCTGCACTTTCATCCCACTTGCTTTCCTGTTTTTGATTCCAAAGCAAGCTACAGGATTATCAGCATAGTCCAGTGACAGAGTGCATCTGACTTTAGATGGCTGGAGAACATTGGCCTGTCTTCTTTCCAAATAGTGATTAATTGTTGCCCGACATCATAGATTTGAAACACAGAATTCAGAGTTACTTTATTTTCTTTTAAGAGCGGCATGGAGGCGGAGGATCTTCACGAATGGACCCCATTTAGTTGGGAGAAGGATTCATTGAGTTGAATACTCTGAGTTTGATTTCTCATACTGAGTTGGGCTGTTTTTTTTTTTTTTTTTTTTTTTTTTGGGGGGGGGGGGGGGTGTAGAAAAGCTCTATAAAGAAGCTTAATGTAGAAATATAGAAAGCTGTTTTTGTTCAGTATTGTGCATTTTAATGTACAGTGATGCCAAAAGTTGCTTTCACCAACTATATTTGAGGAAAAAAAAACTTTTTTTTAATTGCTAGTTAATCTGCTCAACAACATAATTAAATAGTTTTGTGTTAGATGAAAAAGAGGATTTAAAAAAAAAATCTAAAAATCACGTCGTAAAACTTTGCCCACGAATATAAGTGCTCTTTTCAGGGACAAAAAAAAAAAAGAAAAGAGAGATTGGTGTTTGGATAGTAAAAGTCCTCAAATAAAAGCTTTTGCTTTTTTGACAGATTTAACCAAAAAAACTAAAAAGAGCAAATTAAAATTTTATCGCAAATGTCTTAAGAGTTGCTGTTTATAAAGAGAAAGTAATTTTTTTAGATTTTTTATTTTTAATTTTCAAATTGTTTGATTTAACATAAAAATATTAAAAAATAACATTTTAAGAATTTTATTTTCCTAAAATTTTTATACTCTTTTTGATTTCTTTTTAATTTGGACAAATAATATTTTACCCACTAAAAAATTTAAATTTTAAAATTATACCCCTAAAAACACATAAAAAATGTATTCTCTTTTATAAATATTAAATTTACAATATTTATCTCCTAATCAATATTAAAGTGAAATATTTTATTAAATATTCTACTTTTAAATAACATAAATATTATTTTAAATATAAATATTGATTGATTTTTTCTTATTTTAATAGTTATAATGATTATTTAGACTTAAAAAATATTTATCAATTTTAAAAGTAAATTCGATGAATATTTTAAATTAATTAATTTATTTCTAGCATATTTTTAAAGTTTTGATTTGTAAATATTTAACTTATACATTTTTAAAGTTTATAAAAATATATAATTTTTATAATCAAATAGTTATGAAATTTATATTGAATTTTAAAAATATAATTTTAGTAATAAAAATAAAATCTTACAATGCCAAATAAATTATTAATTCTTTTACAATTTAAATTTATTTAAATTTTTTTATTTTAAAATATTTATTAAAAATTTTACTTTTAAATGATATAAATCTATTTTTAAATATAAATAATGATTACAAATATTATAACGTGAGAAAATCAATTAATATTTATATTTAAAATAAAATTTATATTTTTAAAAATTAAAATTTTTAATAAATATTTTATTTAAATATTAATTAGGATAAATATTATAAGTTTAATATCTATATAGAAGAATAGTTCTTTTATATATTTTTACAAAACATAGTTGTTAAAATTTAAATTTTATAAAAGGTGAATTCTTCTTGTCTTTTTAATTTTAATTATTTAACATTTAAATAGAGTAAGAGGCGGTAAATTAAAGAACTAATAAAAATATTTAATTTTATATTTATATATTGATTTATATTTTTAAAAAAAAAAAAAAAACGATTTTAGAACTAATTCAATATTAAAGTATTTATTTTATAAAAAATTCAAAGCCTACTTTTAACAAAACCTCCTCATTTTTCCTTTCCCCCGAAACACCTATCTGAATTTGGAAAATAAAATTAAAAAAAGAGGCACGCCTGAATAAAAAGTCCGGGAAAAGCTCGAGCTTTTCACGTCAAAACTTGGTTCAGATCACTACCTTTCTTCATCGATTCTCCCCTCAGTTCTGTCGTCGTTTAGAGATCAAGTAGAAGGGGAAAGCGATTGGGAGAGAAGCGACGGCGAGAATGAGGCGAAGACCTGGAATTGGAGGTTTACAGAATGCCGCCGCTGCTAGGGTTGGTAATCTTTAAAAACTTCTCTGTATGATTACATTTGTAATTGATATTATATAGTTGCTTTTAAAGGTATCTGTATACTTGATGTGATTTTAGGACCAATATCGCGTGCTCGGAGAAAATGTAGCGAAGCTGAGAACGGATCTAATGAAAGAGCAGCTTGCCACTTTTCGGTCTCAGTTGGAAGAATTTGCTCGCAAGCATAAGGTGCTTTAATTCTCCTTCTTCTTCTTCTTCGTTTTTTTTTTCTTTTGATGATTAAATTGCTTAAGAGTACAGTTTTTGTTTCTGTCGATTTGGTAGCTAATAAACATTCAAATGGACAGCTTGTACTATGAATTGGAAAAGTTTCTGTAGTTTTTGGGTTAAGAAAGATTTTCTGGACTAGGGGTTTGTTTGATGTTATTATTGTTTTAATTGGAATTACAATTTGGATATAGAACAGGAGACGTTCTGCAAATCTGCGACCGACATGAATTCTTGGATTAGCCATCGACTAAGTAGCGTATTTTGTGGGCTTCTTGTTAGGAGTACTCAAGCAGGATGTACTTCAACATTTTCCCACTTAGCTGTTTCATATTGTTACCCATTTACTTGTAGGACTTAGATAGTACTTCAGCATGCAACTTCTTTTGCACTTCTATTGTCGTAATCACCTCCATATCCTAATCCACTACAGACATGGGATTGTGGTTCATCCAATCTAAATGAGCGAGTGGAAAGGGAAATGCCTGTACCTGGTGTCAACAAAAAATGTGCTATTGAATTTTTGTTAGTTTAAAATAATTATTAATGTTTTGTTGACCAAAAAAAAAAAAAAAGAAAAGAAAAAAGGACAATCTAATGATGTTGATATGGTTTCTGCAGAATGACATACGCAAGAACCCTGCATTCAGATCACAGTTTCATGAGATGTGTGCAAAAGTTGGAGTAGATCCCCTAGCCTCTAATAAAGGTTTCTGGTCAGAACTGTTAGGGATTGGTGACTTCTACTATGAACTTGGTTGGTACCTTCTTCTAGATTCACTTGCATCTCTTTTAGTTGTATGTACAATTCTACTGGCCACCATGTTGGAGCCATTAGGATCATATTGATTGTTGCCATTTGAGTTTGAGTTTGCTTTCTTGCTTTATTCGAAATCCTTGAACATAGATATCATTTTTGTAGTGGCTGAACTATTTCCAGTGCGACGCCTGTGCACCTTATCCAATAAGTTGAAAATTGGAGAAATCAACCGTATTTATCTTTACATACATATATATATTTATCTTTACATACATATATATATGGAAGCATCTAATGTCTTGACGCATGCCCTTTATGCTGCCTGGTTTGTATGACATTGGAAGTCCATCTTTAGATAGGCACTACATAGGTGACGTACTTTTTAGCTCAATATATATAGCCTTTTTTCAGTAAAATTGAAGTCTCACTTAAACGTTTGGGTGTCTCCTCCTGCTGCCTTAATGTTGCATGCATCTATAGATTTTGAAGAAACTGCTCGCATGGATGAGAGGGCTTCATTTTTTTGGTATATTTGCTCAAGGAAATTAATTTTCAGGGCTTATAGTGCTGTTATCAAGTCTATCAACTTAAGGATTGTTTCCTTTTTCCTCTTTGCAGGCTAATGCTTGTAGTAAATCATGCCATGTTGTTTTACTTAATCTGCTGGAAACACTTTAATTTGCAAATATTGGATGCTTAAATCTTGGAGCATCGTGGCTTCTTGCATATTGCCTTCTGGTGATATATATGATGTCTAAACTGAAATAAAGTGATTTTGGCTAGATAGGGGTACAAATTGTGGACATTTGCTTGGCTACGAGACCCCATAATGGGGGTTTGATCAACTTGGAGGAACTTTGCAAGTTGCTTTGTCAGAGACGAAAGGTTTCTCTTGAAGCTGTGTCTGAGGATGATTGCTTGCGTGCAATTAGTAAGCTGAAGGTCTTGTTTCCCGAATTTAATTTAATATCTTGTATCAACATGGAGACCTTGAGAATACATTACCTTCACTCTCACATATCTCTATCTTTCAGTGTGTTAGTTATGGGTACATATAACCAAGCAAAATAAAATATTATATGTAGATAAAATGTTAAGAAGTAAGTTGATGGCGTTGAACTTATGGTTTTTATTTTGCCTCTCTTTTAATTTATTAGCATTTTTTCTAAAAAAAGGCAAAATAAACTAATGCTTTAAGTCAGTGAAACAGTAGAAAACCTCACATCATAGAAAACGAAAATAATAGATAGGTTTTTTCATTTGAGGGTTTTGTAAATCTTATGATCTATGTTTCCCTCAGTTTCTGAAAATTGTTTGTGATATGTTATACTGACAGGGTGGATTTTGCAGGTATTAGGTAATGGTTTTGAGGTGATTTCTGTTGGAAAGAGAAAGCTTATTAGATCCGTTCCAACTGAGTTACATAAAGACCATAATGAAATTTTAGAGCTAGCCCAGGTTCTACTCTCTCCCTCTCTCTCTCTCTCTCTCTCTCTCTCTCTTCTGAGGCTATTTCACAGTTCTTTGGTTTTTGTAGACCTATAAAATAGATGGTAGTGCATATTTGTGCAGTAAATATCATTCTTTTCTGACTTCTTGTCTATTATTAATTCACCCAGTACATGGGTTATTGTTCTCTCTAATATTGGGAGGAAATCGTGACTACTTTGATTTTTGAACTATGGGGGAAGATTTCATTTTGCAATTGTATTGGAAAAATGAGGATCCGGAATCAATAGTGAGGCAACAAAATCTTGTTCCAGTTGCTCATGTGGTTATCAAAATTTAACTGGCCTTGCTGCTGTTCTCGTAGACTCAAGGCTTTGTGACTGCCGAAGAGGTAGAAAGAAGGTTGTCCTGGTCCACTGGCCGGGCCATTGATGCCCTAGAAACTTTATTAGACGTAAGTGGATATGGTCCTCTTCTCATATTTTTCCTCATTATTATGTTGCCTAAAAAAGCCCAGGATCACCCTCAGTAATGCACTGAATGTTGCAGGAAGGTCTTGCTATGATTGATGATGGTCATCCAGATGGAAAACGTCGGTACTGGTTCCCCTGCGTGTCTTCAATCTCCTCTTTCGTGGGAGTTGATGCCCCTTGACATTGTTTTGGGCACTGGAGTTGTATGATGGTACGACAGTGATATAATTTCAGGGGTTATACTCTTCTATCCTGTAATATTGGTTGAACTGAACTCTGATGTGCAAAATAGAAGATATTTGATTTGCATATACATAAGACAGCTTCCTGTGGATGAAATTAAGATCGGGAAATTAGGTTTAAAAGTTTGAAATTATTAGAAAAAGATAGATTGGGTCACAGACTACTTCCGCTCCGGTTCCCTATTTCCCTTTCTTCTTTTGCCTGGATGGTGATCAAGCTCGGCTACCTCGCTGTCTCTCCGACGAGCAGCGCTGGTCGTAGTAAGTCTGCAATGTCTGCATAAAATTCATACGATGTGTGGGGTGGAGGGTCTCAATGGGTGGTTTTGCTGCCTCTATTACTTTGTTCCAACCCTTTCACCTCCCTCATCTTAACAACTCCGGGAAAAAATGGTGAATTCGTAACAAACGTTTTAGAATTTTGTCAAGTCAAGAAGAAATATTGGATTGCTCGTTAAGCGATTTCTTAATTCACACACACACACGCTTCTTAGTTTAGTAATTTTTATAAATTAAATCGTAAGCAGTGTAAGACATGGTGCTAAAATTATGTACATGGTCATGAAATCATAAATAGAGAAAGAAACCAGAGTGTCTGCAGAAATCAAAGTGTATGTACGGTGCTAAATTGTTATTATTTTTTGTTAGGTCCCTGTTTGTGAATTTTGTTGCCTAGGATTCCTCATATGTAATTTGCCGTGTTTTGATTTGAGGTATATTCTGCTAACTAGGCATCCTGGCAAAAGCAACAGGGAATATCCAAGCCGGCATCTGTGCCTGGACTGGAAGCTCTGTCATGAGCATTACATACTTTTAATTTAACCTCCCTTATAATTAAAAGGTGTAATAATAAACGCATCTATTATTTTATATTTATACAAAAGAGAATTCTGTCGGGCTAATAGCATGTGCGCTTATTATATCTGCAGTGGGTCCGTCTCCACTTATTGAATATCAAATATGACAGTTAATTTTCAAGAAATATGAACTATATAAACAAAAATTAAACTGTGAATCAAATAAATAGTTATAATTAATATTCCCAAGAGCCACAAACTTTATATCTATTCAATTTTACATATTAAATTTAATAATTAACGCTTGCAATTTATGCCTATATGTCAAGTACCCACTCTCATTCAATATGTTCAACTCAAAAATAAATATTTTTTCCAAAATTTTTCAAGAAGAAAAACTTCTCTGGTTAATATTTTCCGTCCAACAAGAAATTGTTGGAAAATTTTCTCTTAAATTTTTAAATTACAAGCTAATCCGGAGCGGTTTGGTCCCTATGTATACACCATTTGGTAATTTTGTAAATATTTTGAAGGACTTCGAATCGTTCTGTAAATGTCAAAATTTTGTTGAGAATCAAAATATTTCAAATATAAAAAAAAAAAAAGGAAAAGTAGCAGTGGGAAACTATTAAATGTTGATTTAACGAGTATTATTTTTTATAATATTTTAAAATTTAATTTAATTTTCGTATTTTTAATTCAAATCGTGGCTCCATCAGGACCATTGGATTACGGTGTTTCTTCGTTTTTGGTTTTTCTGTGTTTTTTGGCCGGACAAATTGCAGTAGAGTGAGCATTGAAGAGAGGTAACTCCTGTGGAGCCACTCAAAGTCGCGTTTTCTTACTTAATATTATTGACAAAACGACGTTGCTTTCGATAACGAATAACCAGTCCAACTAGCGGCGCCGCCGTGGAACCGGCGGAGCGAGAGAGAGAGTGACATCCGTCCCTCCGTTCACTTCCCACCACAGATGGTCTCTTCCACCGCCATGCCCTGTGCTCCTCCTCGTCTCTTCTTCACAACCCATTTCGTCCTTACCTTCCTTACGATCTCGTGTCTCTGCATTTCACTCGTCCGTGGCCTCAAAACCCCGTTTCGTCCCAAGGATATACTCCCTCTTTTGCCCAGAGAAGTCTCTTGGCCAATTCTCAACGCTCTCCATGGCGCGGTCGACATTTTGCCCACCTTCGTAGGCGCCGCCTCGTCGCCGGACGATGACTTGGAGTGGAAAGGGGCTTGCTTCTACAAGAACAGGGCGTGGCTAGAGTTTCACAACAAGAGCCAGAGTGAATTTGGTGGAGGCACTCTTCATATCAAGGTCCGTGCGTTATTGGGTTGTTTGTGTGTGTTTACTTTGGCGCTGATTCTGGAATCCGATTTGTGGGCCGGCGTGTTCACTTAAGTTTTTGCTTGAAATGAAATTTTCTCTGACTTATTTTATTGGTTTTTGAGAATCCGTGGTTGCTGGTCTGAAGGTTGAGCTTAAATTTTATTTCTGAGCATGTCACTCTTTTTCCTGATAAATTGAATTGGTAACTGGGGAGCTTTACGCAAGGAAAGGGGCTTTTTTCCTCCTTTTCTTGATGAATTTGATTGGTAAGTGGGGACTTTTGTGCTAGGAATTTTTACCTCGTTTTCTACTTAAAAATTGTTTCCTAATTGCTAGATTTTTGGTGATACTGTATGCTTCGGTATTCATGTGCTTCAGATATACGGCCTCTGTTTGCTATTTAGGTTTTTTGTGAGCTCGTGATTAAATATCAATTTCCATTTCACTTTTTAATTTTTGGTCTGTTGATGTCATGCAAGTTTTGGTTTTTGGTAAGTCTTGTTATTGAAATTTCCTATTTGATTTGTTTGTTATATTGATGGTTAAAATCTTGCATTAATAAGTCCCCTGCGAAGTTTGGGAGAATTGGATAGCCCAGTCTACAAAGATTTTGGACACTCTTTTCTTGAAAAAATATTTTGGGCTTATATATTGCTTCTTCGCTTGAAGTTTTTGGCTAATGATCTCAAAGATGTTGGGAACTTTAGTTTCAGAAAGTCGCAGTTTACATACTTGCTGAATTTGAGGTTATTGTTGGTTTTCCGGTGACGATTCTTCAGGAGGATTCATCTTGTTAATTGGAGATTGGTCTGGTCATTCTTGGCAATTCATATTTTTCATCACATCGTTTTTGTTTGCAAAATAGTTATCTAGTTTAATGCTAGTCACGGGTTTTTCAATAGCGGAATTAGTTAATATAACCATTAAGAATCTCAGGCTTTGAATTAAGACTGAGACTAAGTGCACTATTTTCAATTTGATATGCATCAAATGTTAGGATCATTTCCAAATACCATTAAGTACTTTAATGTGTTTGTTTAGGAGATATTTTGTTGAGCGAATTTGATAATCTCCACTTAAAACTTATAATTTAGGTTAAAAGATTATATTTTAATTTAAATTATACCTTTTCAACATTTAAATGTTTTGGCACTGACATTTTCATGCCTCAGTTCCCTCAAGCATGGACTAGCTTTAATTTGACTGATTTGTTTCTTGTCTCTTATGACAGACATGGTTTTTTAAATGCATTTTTCTTTATTTGCTGGGTACATAACTTATTCATAGGCCTTTCTCAGATTCAGTTTGTAACACTGACTACTATCTCTTCCATTTCAGGTTAGCAATGCCCACAGTTGGACATGCATGGATCTTTATATCTTTGCAACCCCATATCGTGTGACATGGGACTATTACTTTCTATCTCGTGAACATACCCTTGAATTTAAAGAGTGGGAAAGCAAAGCTGAGTTTGAATATGTAAGATGCTTGAGCTTTCTGTTATTTATTAACTTGCGTGACCATTTTGTCTTGATGCAATTGAAATTTTTTTCCCCCAAACAATGTATTCACTCCCTAAGTTAACAGGTGAAGCATAAGGGCATTTCAATTTTTCTTATGGAAGCTGGAATGCTGGGAACCCTTAAAGCTTTATTTGATGTCTTCCCCTTATTCACAAATACTGGATGGGGAGAGAACTCAAATATTAAGTTTCTCAAGAAGCACATGGGGGCTACCTTTGTAACACGTCCTCAGCCATGGATTACTAATGTTAGCATAGATGACATTCACCCTGGAGATTTCCTTGCATTATCCAAAATCCGGGGACGGTGGGGTGGTTTTGAGACTCTAGAGAAGTGGGTCACCGGAGCTTATGCTGGTCATTCTGCTGTTTGCTTGAGGGATTCTGAAGGAAAGCTTTGGGTCGCAGAATCTGGAAATGAGAATGAGGAGGTAAGCCATATGAGTTTGCAAACACCTCTCCCTCTCCCCCCCCCCACCCCCCCCCCCCCCCCCAACCAAAAAAAAAGGGAGATGCAGGAGTCTTTGTGATAGGCTGAGTGTTCTTTAGGGATATTGAATCTAGATTTTTTATATCTTCTTTTGACTCAAAACAATCTCATTCATTTCAGCATACATACGAATGACTTTTAACTGACAGGGGTTAGGACTGCTAATGTCCAAGATCTTGCAAAGCCTGGAATCTTGTGGCCTAGGGATTCTGGGGGCCTTGATTCTTGATTCTCATTATCACAATTTTTCCAAACATTGAGCTTGTTTTTTCAGGGTTTTAGCCCACTTTCTCCAAGTCTGCTTTATTTAAACCCTCCATAAACAAACAACAAAATCCCTTCTATTTAAATCCACTTTTGCCAAACTTACTTTATTTAAACCTAATTTTCCCAAATTTGCTTTCCCTACACCCCTTAAAGTGGCAATGAAACAACCAAATCAATTCTGTCTAAACTCACTTTCTCCAAATCTACTTTATTAAAACCCAATTTCTCCCAACTCACTTTCCCTAAACCCACTTAAGCCTGCAATCGAACAAGGCCTAAGGCCTTTATTTAAATTTGTTGTCATTTGGTTGAGATATCTTGGAATGAGCCTATCTGAGTCATATTCATTAAATAAGATTCTTAAATTGTATTCATGTATAACACACTCTGTTGTAACTTGACATCTAATTTCCTCACTCATTAACTTCCTATCTGTAGAATTTTCATTTCTCTAGATGAGCCTACTAGTGTACTTAAAGTTTTTATCTTTTGTTATATTGTACTTTGCAATAAACTGGGTAGTACTCTTGTATTGTTGTCACTATAGAGCAAATGTGACTTGAAGCTAATATGAAACTGGTTATTCAAATTTTTGTTTTCAGGGAGAAGATGTCATTGCTGTTTTGCCATGGGATGAATGGTGGGACTTTGAGCTGACAAAAGATGATGCTAATCCACATATAGCATTACTTCCTTTGCATCCTGATGTCCGAGCCAAGTTTAATGAGACTGCTGCTTGGGAGTATGCACGAAGCATGATAGGCAAGCCTTATGGTTATCACAACATTATATTTAGTTGGATAGACACTATTGATGGGAACTATCCACCACCAATTGATGCAAATGTGGTGAGGCTTTATGCGGCCTTCTCTTTATATTTTTTTAACTGGCTTGCAAAATAGAGGGGAGACTATCTACATTTCTCAATTTTATCATATCTTTTCTAATGTCTAGGTGTTTTGGTTAATGCGATTCAATGTATGGTTTTGATAATCTGGTGTTTCCGTGACCTATATTCCCTTCCCTAGAGCTTCAAGATTTTTTCAAGTGTTACCCTGTGGCTTGTTATGTGTTGTATAATAATTGATAGCTATAAGATGAATTTGTCATGTTGCATTAGCACTGAAGAAAACTGACAGTCGCGACATACTAGAAGGTTTATGACTTGTATAACCATAGGTAAAGGAGCCAAATTCCAGTTGAAACATACTAGAAGGTTTTTGACTTATATAACCATATGCAAATGAGCCAAATTCCAAGTTTAGGGCTTCAAGCTGCCCATGAAAGAGCAAGCTCAGGGTGATTTCCCAAGGCTAATTGAGAGAGGGAAAGGGAGGGGGAGGGGGGAGTTGAACCTGTTGAATAGGTTCATCTTTGGTCATTCTAACCTACTGTATGTTCCATCCATCGATTTCCTAACTTCCTAACAACATGTGTGTGCATCTTTAGGCATCCCAACTTATAGAATGTTATTGTTTTGTAGGCTTTTGCTTTTAATGTTTGCAGGTTTTGATTTTTTGTGTTGTTACAGGTTGCTTCTGTCATGACCGTTTGGAATCAGATACAGCCTGATTATGCTGCAAATATGTGGAATGAAGCCTTAAACAAGAGACTTGGAACTAAGGTAGGGTGCCCCTCACCACAGGGGTTCCTGTTTTGTGAAAGGTGGGGAGGGTAGTTGAGCATGTGTAACCTTACCTTACCTTCACCTAAAGCTGCTTCCATGACTTGAATGACTGACCTTCCAATCAGAAAGGAGCGATGTTGATCCTGCTTGTCCTTTTTTATTTATTTTTATTTTACTGCCTCAAAGTTCGCTAGTGTTTGCTGACTGAAATATAGAATGAAAGAGGATGCCTATTGAATATCGATGGTTTTCATTAGAAGTATATTGTTGATGTGAAAATGAAGAATTTGACCAGATCACTGGAAATTGTAGATGAATCAACAATCTTTCGGCTTATCAAACTACCTATCCGAACCTGTAAGCAATTGAATCTCATTGGGGTGAATTAAACAGGCATTGGAGTGGTCCATGTGGACAAATTTACAGATGATAACTCATACTGTCATTAAAGTCCATGTAATGTTAAAAATAAATAAAATGTTTTCTTTATATTTTTAAATGTTTATGTGACTTTTGTGTCCTATGCAGGGCCTTAGTCTTCCTGAAATTCTGGTGGAAACTGCTAGGCGTGGATCATCTTTTGATGAATTGTTGACAATTCCTGAGCAGGATGATTGGATATACTCTGATGGAAAGTCAACATCATGTGTTGCTTTCATTCTTGAAATGTACAAAGCAGCTGGATTGTTTGATCCAATTGCAAGCTCCGTTCAAGTTACAGAGTTTACAGTGAGTTTGTTGTTAATATTCAAATATTATTCTAAATCCTATAATCCATCTTTTTATTATTTCATTCCACAACTAATGATATGAGTGTGAGGTAATCTCAGAGGGGTTATAAGTTGGATGATTTCTGTTTGCAGGCTTACCAGTTTTTTTACCCGCTCGTTTTGAACGATTGATAATAACCTTTTTTTGTTTTTTTAATGGAACCCAGCTGTTATTATTTGCTGACAAACTGCCTTGAACTCATTCTACATTGAAGATTGAAAGTATAAGTTTATTTTTACTGGTGTAGAAAGCAACTAACTGCGATTTTGAATCTAGATGTTTAACTGTGATTATTTCTTCGCTTTGAAGCCCCTATTGGGAAGTTTTCATAAGAACCTTTTTTTTGGGGGGTTGAAAAATGCAGATAAAAGATGCTTACTCTCTCAAGTTCTTTGAAAACAATTCAAGCCGCTTGCCTAGGTGGTGCAATGAAGGTGACACTGTGAAGCTTCCTTTCTGCCAAATCAAAGGCAAGTATCGAATGGAACTACCTGGATACAATACCATGGATCCTTATGCTCATATGAATGAAAGGTGCCCATCTTTGCCTCCTGAATACTTCAGACCTAAGGGTTGTTGAAATCTCTATGCCCATGGTTTGTATAGTATCAGTTTGTGGAGTCATTTATTCATGTACGTACACTTAAGATGCAAATCTCTGAAATATGCCAAAAGGTTAGTCAACATAGGTCAGCATTGTTTGTAAATTTGTGTACTGCAGTAGGCTTGGAAAACAATTTCAATTTCACTTATGTAAACTATTATTGTATGAGCTGGAAATTGGAGTTATTATTATGTAATTGCTCATTTTTTAATACTTCTAGAGTGCCATGCTGAAATGATCTTTAATGTTATGATTGGCATTCTTTCTTTACCCTTTTTCAAGAGAAAAATAAAGGCTTTATGAAATATTTGCTCTTATATATATTTTCTGTTTGATGATTAACTCAGAGCTGACCTTTCATTTTATTTGGTTCATTATTGAAATATTCCTACTAGAGGTAATCAGATTCATTTAAGACTGCTTGTACTAGAAGGATCAAACTTTATCCTATAAACAGATGAAAGTACATAGAACAGTCTTGACATAGTTGTGTATCTAGAAGCTTTCATAATGTCACACCAGTTTCTTTGGCATAATTTGGATTGGAACTTCCTGAGTAGGCACTGGCATTGGGTCCCTGCTAAATTTGTCATCCTTACTGCATAAATTCCATGCAAATCGAGTGACCAGATAATGAATTGAGACCAAGGTTTCAATCCTTGCAAACTCATATCCCGGGCAGATACGAGCCCCCCCTCCAAATGGAATGTAGGAGTGAGGCGGTGTGTCTGCTGGGTTCTCAAACCTTGCTGGATTGAATTTTGATGGTTCTTGGAATATATCAGCATCCATGTGAGTCATGCTTGCAACCCAGAATATCTAGTCATATGATTTGTCAGAAGTTGCGGAACAAAGGATAAGAGATACGATAAATAATGAGATTAGATTTCACTCACTTGCCATCCTTCTGGAATTTGGTATCCACCATATTCTATGTCCTCCAGGGTCTTCCTGAATCCTCCAAAGACTGGAGGAACCATCCTCGGTGTCTCCATTGCCGCTTTCCAGGTATACTTCATCTTAGCAAGGTCTTCCCAGGTAAGTAAATCTCCTGATGACTTTCTTTTTGCTATTTCTTCTTGCTCTGCAGACACCAAATATCACCTTTACACGTGTGCGTGCGCACATTGGAACGCTACTTCATTCGTGGTATCATTAGGAGTTATAGTATGCATATGTTGTTTGTATATATAATTATGAACATGTTTTTAAGTTTGTTTCTAGAGTATTTTGTTTAAAAATAATTCTTAATAAATGAACATCTATTCATAAATTATTGTGATTTATGACCCCTTGTATTTTCTAAAAATGATGCAAATGAAATCTCTATTTTGGAGAAAGAATTTTTAGTTTGTAATATGGAAAATGAATTTTTGTTTTGAAAAAGAAATAAAGATTAGTCTTTATTTTAAAAAAGGAATTCTTAATTAATGCATTTCTTAATCAATTCAAGAATTCAGGCAGATTTAATTATAGGACAAAAAAAAGTTTCCTCGTTCAATTTTTTTTCTCTATTTTATTTATCTTCTTAAATTACACAATGTATCATTTACCTCTAGAAAATTAATAACATTAAACAAATCGTTATATTTATCATGAATTCTTTAGTTTTAAATATTTATTTTTTTAAATATTATTATAATAGTAATTAATTGTTAAAATTTTAAAAATTTAAATTAATATATTATAACTGATAATAAATATTATTCAATATTATTAATTTTAGATATTAAATTAAAATATGTTTAAATGACGCAAAATTAATTTTGATTATATATGCAATTTAACTTAATAAAAAATTGCTAGCTGGGAATAAATAATTTTAATTTAATAAAAACTATTCAAACAACGCAATTTGAAATTTAATAATTTGCATTTTATAGAATAAAAAATTAAATTTGTCATATATAGATAAGAATTAAATGTTAGATTTAAAGAATTTTTAAAATGTTGGACCAATTTTGTGGTTTGTCCCATAGATTTAAGAATTTTTAAATAGATATTTCGCAAGTATTTAAGGCTTAATTTTTTAAATAGACGATATCTAATAATTCTTTAAAGAATTAAATACATTTGATAATATTTAATTTTTTAAAGAATTAAATACATTTGATAATATTTATTATTAATTATAACATGTTTATTTAATTTTTTTATAATTTTAATAATTAATTATTCTAATAATAATATTTTTTTTAAAAATCAATATTTAAAATTAGAGAGTTTAGAAACAAATATAATGATTGATATAATGGTGTTAAATTTTAAAGGAATAAATGATACATCATATAATTAGAAGGTTAAATATGACAGGGAATAAAGTTAAAAGGACAAATTAATTTTTAAATAAGTCTTTAAATAAGATATATAATATCTATCAAAAATTGTTAAAAATATCTAATATTTTTTTTAAAAAATAGTTGTTGAACGGTTTAATTTTTGACATTTATGTTGGAAAAATAATTTTTTAATAAATTCATTCCTGAATTTGGGATGTTCAGTTTAGAACACACTGCGACTTGAGTCGCTTGATACATTAAGATATCAGGGGGGGTAGGCGACCAAGGTGACTCTGGAATTGGCATGAACTAACTAGGCATGTTCGAAGAGATTTTGAAACTCTACAATTTAATTTTTGGTTGCAAGAGAGATGTACGGTACGTGAGATAGAATAAAGCAGGATAAGGAAAGTTTTGAATAAAGTATTTAACTGTATAATAATTTAGATAATTATCTTATTTAACGGAAATAATAGTTAACGGTAACAATAAGAGTAGTATTGTTCAAAAAAGTTAAATAAGAGTCGGATAAAATTATTCTATCCCTCCTAAGTATAGTTTATTCGAATTTGATTCTTACTCAGATTTTATTTGATCTTCTTCTATCTTATTTATCGAATATGGATAAAAATGAATAAATTATCCACTTTGCCTGCCTAGCAATCAAGCCGCAGGTTTTATAGCAATCAAAGACTGTAATCTCTTATCATACCTTGAACAACACTTGCAAGAACGGTGGGATCTTTGGCCAGAAAGCGCATGAGGAAAGTGATAAGGACGGAGGCAGTGTTGTGCCCGGCGACCATGACAAGCACCACGTTGTGAACAATCTCATCTTCCAACATTTCTTTTTCAATGCCCTTTACCGCAGATGCCGATGAGGGAGGTGATGAGGTCCTGGTGAGACAAAGCGCCCTCTAGCTCGAGTTGAACTCTCTTCTCCTCTATGAGTTGTCTGACGAGTCTCTGAACCACCTTGCTCTCCCAGAGGCTGCAGTTGTAGCGGGTGAAGGGAGGTTGATGGGGATTGACCACATCCCTATTAGAATATCATTTTATTATATTTAATAATAATTATTAATGTAATTATCCAATATAAAGAATAATCTTATCTAGATATGCTCTGTAGTTATCTTTTAATTATCTCTAATTTATTTTGTATTGATCACGTTTGATGAAAATGTGTCTATAAATAAAGGTAAGGGTCCCTAAGCTCAATACGTGAAATATTATACACACCATCAGTAAGGCGTTTGAGAGCTTAGAAGAACTCTTACAACTTTCAAAAATTGAGATTGTGCAATACGAGATTTTCGGTTTCAAACACGACTTTAGGTTTATAGCAATGGCTAGAGGTATTTCTATTCCTATTCCGCATTCTTGATTTCGAGCTTGATATTAGAATTATTAACTCGAAATTAAGGTTTTCAAAATATTTTATTATCATTTGGTATCAAAGCTTATTTGACCTCTGCCTTGATAAACCATGTCTTTATGCATACATACGAAACTGCAATATACATACATTGTTTGATTACATTTTTTATGCTCGTATACACAATGTATATTTATGTTGAAAAATTGGTTCCTGTAATTACATGTACACACACATAATGTTTTTATCAGATTCGGCCAACAATCTTTGCATTCATATATACATTTGAAATCTGACTTACATTAAGCCGATAAAAACTTTCGGGTTTTGTGAATGTGGGTTTAGCAAAACAATCGGATTATCAAAAGTAAAACTAATGGCTAGATATGTTTGCATATACATATGTGTGTATATACATATGTGTGTTATAAATGTGTTATATATATATATATATATAGAACCAAAAATTTTGATTTGAGTGTAATTGGAAATTTTGAGTTTTTCAATTTGGTTTATTAAACTGATTGGATTCTGGATTTTGGAGACTGATCGAATGAAGCTTATCAATCAGATGAAATTCACAGTGGTCGGATTCTGGGCTATAAGAGATCGATCGGACTAAATTTATATCTCAATTAGTCTGGATCGAGCAGCAGATCGGCAGATTCGCTATTAAAGGCGAACTGAAGCTCTGCCGATTGAGTTTAATGGATGATCTGCTTTGGATTTCTTTATTTTGAAGATCCATGGCCATCAGGATCTTCTCGGCAAGCAAAGATCTCCATTGATGCTCAGAGGATTGATTTTGAAGATCAAATTTAAAAAAAAAAATTGCAGAAGAAAAGGTTCAAGGAAGAAGACGACTAGCGCGTGCACCGCACGCATGGCATTAAAAAAAAAAAAAAGGAAAAGGAGGGTGGCGCGTGCAGAGATTCGTTGACCCGCGCGCCTGATCGGTTGACCCGAATGCCTGATCGGCTCCTGACCTGAACCGCCCGCATCCGGATCCGCGGGGCTTAAACCCAATCCTGATCCATGTTCCGATCTGACCCTCTTATGTCTGACCGTGGCCTAAATGCGCGCGGGCCGATCCAAGCCGACCCGCTTGCACTGAACCGAGCGCAGGTTGACCTACGCGCGTTGACCCGAGCCAGCTTTATCCGATTAATAAAAAAAAGGGAAATTTTCTAAATAAATAAACAAATTGTTTATATTCCCTTGATTATATATATATAAATATATTTTTTGTAATAATGAAATTGTGAAACATTATGTGCTTTTTCAATTTAAATTTTGAAATCCAATTCTTCAGATATACATGCAATAAAAAAATGCTCATATATTTGATATATATATGTTTAAAATATATGAACTGATATAAATTGCATTTAGATAGTAATTCTTGACAATTTTGATGTTACATTTGATTGTTGCAATTTTAAATAATTAGAGTTTAGCCACAGCATCTCCAAATTATGATAAATTGCACATCAGAGATCAAATATGGTATTTGAAATCAATTGTAATTAATCAATAATTATATAATAATTTTATCCCACAGGAATTTATTGCAATTATATGATTAATTAGGATGAAATAATGAATGTTTTCTTAATTTGCCCATAGGAATTAAGAAGGTATACAATTTATTAGTTTTCATCATAAAAGTGAAATATAAATCCTAAAATAAAACTTAGCCCACAGGCAGTTTTGTTTGTATTGATTTAGTATTTAACATATTTACATTGGTTATATAAATGCTTTTAGCCTCTTTATAATTCATGAGCATATTTAATTTCTTGCAGCAACTATGAATTACTCTGATTTCAAAATTAATATTCCTGAATTAACTGGCGACAACTATAAGATGTGGAGAGAGAGGATTCTCCTCCAGTTGGGGTGCATGGACATTGATCTTGCTATAAGGAAAAGTAAACCACTTACTCCTACGAATAATAGCACTCAGGAAGAGGTAACGCTCCATGAATAGTGGGAACGATCTAATCGTTTATCCATGATATACATTAGACGCGTATACCAGTTAGCATTCGTGGGTGCATAGATGAGCAAGTCAATGTGAATGATCTTCTGAAGGCTATTGATGAGCAATTTGAGTCTTCTGATAAGACCCTTGCTAGCACTTTCATGACTCAGTTGTCAACCATTGAGACTCACTAGAGTTAAAGGTGTGCATGAGCACATCATGAAGATGAGGGACATGGCCGCCCAATTAAAGGCCTAGAGGTGGACATGTCTGAATCCTTCTTGGTGCATTTCATTCTGAATTCCTTAACTGCAACAATACAGTGCATTCAAAATCTCTTATAACACACATAAGCAAAAATGGTCAATCAATGAACTTTTGGTTATGTGTGTTCAATAAGAGGAAGATTGATTGCTGAGATGGGAGAAAGTGCACATATGGCTACTCAAGGAAGGAAACAGATAAAAGCCAAGCATAAAGGAAAAGGAAAGTTACCTGTTCAGACTGACATAAAGAAACAATTCAGTGTTTTCTTCTATAAAAAGAAGGGACATGCCAAGAAGGATTGTGTCAAGTATAAGGTTTGGCTTGAAAAGAAAGGTAATCCTCTATCTCTAATTTGTTTTGAATCTAATATGACTGATATTTGTCATTATACATGATGGATTGACTCTGGTTCAATAATCCATATCTCTAATACCTTGCAGGGCTTTCTAAGCCACAGGAAACCGGTGGGAAATGAAGCAATGCATCTATACAGGAAACATAATGCACTCGGCCGGTTGAAACTGTTGAAACATGCAAAATTAGTTTTTAGATTCTGGTTTTGTTTTGTTTTTGGAAAAGACATTTTTTATTTCAAATTTTTCTAGGAATTTGATTTATGTATCAAGACTCGTACCTTTGGATATTCTTTTAGGTTTTTCTGATTTATCATTTAGTTTTATTTTATAAATCTAATTTGGTTGGGAATGGTACATTGTCTGATGGTCTTTTTCGAATTAGTTTGAAAGATAATTCTATATATGTGCAATGCATGTTCAAAACAATGCGGCTATTAAAACATGTATTGTGAATGAAAATTCCTCTATTTTGTGGCATCGTAGACTGGGACATATATCCCTTGACAGAATCAAACGGTTGGTAAATGAGGGAGTACTTAGTACTCTAAACTTACTGACTTTGGGACATGTATAGATTGCATAAAGGGAAAACAAACTAACATATCCAAAAAAGGTGCAAAGAGGAGTTCAAAAATATAGAGATCATACGTACGAATATGTGTAGTCCGGATATAGACTCATGTGGTCAAAAATATTTCATTTCATTCATTGATGATTATTCACGATATATGTATCTCTACTTACTACATAATAAACATGAAGCTTTAAATCCTTTAAAGTTTTCAAGGCAGAAGTAGAGAAACAATGCGGAAAGTAAATAAAGATCGTGAGATCAGATCGAGGAGGTGAAGACTATGGTAGATTGTACTGATAATGGACAAACACTAGGTCCATTTACGAGGTTTCTTGAGGAAAATGGGATTGTTGCCCAGTATACCATGCTTAGGTCTCCGGATCAAAATGGTGTAGCAAAAAGAAGAAACCGGACCTTATTAGATATGGTGCGGAGCATGCTTAGCAGCTCCAA